GTCTAAAAACTCCAGAATATGAAGGGCAGGTCACGGCCCTAGTCATAGCTACCTTCCAGATTGAGCCAAGCACTTGCTACCAGAGTCGGCTTTTGCAAAAACCTGGTCGACTGATTTGTGGGGGTTGGGGGACATTTACCATGAGAAACTGTTTCATCACACTCGTGGGCAGTTGCCACGCAAGTGCGATCACCAGTTGGACATGTGGTCCCCTCTTTTGGGAAATGCCCACACCAGCACGTGAACATATATTATTAGGCATGGCCACTTCCCCACCCAGATTCTGCACGCGACGGATAAAGCGGTTGGTGCAGGTTCAGGGGCTTTCTGAAAACAGGGCTTCACATCGCTAAGTCGCGCCTCAGGCCACCAAACAACAAAGCACTGCCAGTGCAAGCTTCCCCCAGTTGCCCAGTGACCTTGGAGGAAACAGGGAAGCCTTGGCTTGACCCACTGAGCTTAAAGGGGAATAGGGTGCCACTGAAACGGTTTCTTCTGGGCTCTGATCCAAAACAGAAGATATACTCAGTCTTCCGCACTCACCCAGCTGGGAGGTTGCCAGTCGCCGGCTGACTTTGTCCGCCTTTTCCAACGAAGTCGGGAGAAAAGGGTCGCCATGTCCAGCCCAGAGTGCAGCTAGAAGCTCGACTTGGTTTTGCCGAACATTTTGCGAAGTTCAGCTTCTGCTTGGCCCAAAGCATTGTCCCAGTTGAAAACGTTGGCTCAACCGTAGATGACCTTGTAAAATCTGCCTCTGGAGATGGGACAAACAAATCGAACCTAGTGCCTTGCATTTACAGCCACAAAATAGGGGGGTTCATCAAAAGGTCCGGTAGACATGGGATGACCAATAGTTGGACACCATCAAAACAGATGTAAGTTGTCCTATTTCAACCACATGGAGAAAACAACTACCCATGATCAAAACTGGGGGGGGAAGGGAATATTGATCAACCCCCATACGGCACCCGCAAACCCGCCATTAAAAAATATATATATATATATCTATATAACCCCCCATATAACCCCCGTATAACCTTTTCCTAAGCCCCCCAGAACCCAAACCGGTCACCGATACGCCCCAACCCCGCTCCTCCTTCAGCTGGAATTGGGAAGGTTGCAGCTGGCCCTGAAGGCGACCGGATGAATGGAAGCTTGGGACATGCGCGGGCCGCTTACAAACAATATATATATATATATATGTATGGCTGTGGATCAAAAAGCAGGCACCCGAAATGGAACCCTGGTAAATGGAACCAAGGATTGAAACCTGCGGTCCCCTGGCGGTTTAATTTTGACCCACGCCCATGTATGCTTCATGCTCGCAATGAAACGGGAAACCCAAAGGATGTTGGGGAGACAGGACCATCTGCCGTTTCACCCTCTTTTGCCACACAAAAAGGTGGTGTCCTGGTGTTTCCCTCTAAACCGCCTCAACAGTGTCGCCTTGGGCGTTTTTACCCCTTTGGGAGTAAAGCCCTCGAGCACGGGCTTGGTATGGGCGAAGGCTGCAACCGGAATGTGGGGCTTGCGTCTTGGAATGCGGGGCACCCCCCCAAAAGTGTCAAATCCCATTGCAGGGGTTCTGCTAGGCTTCCAAAAGCAGCTGTCACTTGTTTATGTCTCGAGAAAGGCAAGGCAATGCTCCTCTTGCCGTCTAGTCGGATTGTGGAAACGAAGAGATTTCCCTAGCTTCCCAATTGGTCTCTGCAAGCTCCATTCTAAAGGGCTCTCCGATCCTTGGCTAATTATCCTAAGCCCTCACGACCTTGGATCAAATGAGCAGGCCAATTGCAGGCCGATTTGGAATTCCCATGTTACCGTCGGCGTTTGCCAGCCCGATGGGGCGTTGTTCGCCCCCGCAAAAAGGAAAACAGAAGGACCCAAGTGGCTCTTAATTGTGTGTTGGTAAGAGACCTCCGTTCGGCTATGTTGGGGCCATTGCCTTTTCGGGATTCATAGCTTCGGAGCACTTTGAACATTTCATGAACCGCGGGCCACACCCTTGACACATGCTTCAATATTTTCTTCTTGAAACCATGTCCTTTAGGTTCCAGTTAAGGGGTATGCTGTTGAAAACAATCTTGCAACCTTGACCCCAACCCTTGGCCGGCCTGGAGTTCACAAATCCCCAGTTCTCTGATCAATTGGCAGGTTCCCAAGAAAAGCTGCCATCTTTTCCACCTTTTCCTTTCGGTCTGGTGGAAAAGGTCGCATAACTAGCCAATCGAACCTTTCTAACCAGCCATGAACAACAGAGAACCTCGCGGGCCGTTCTCCGTTCTTCCCCTTTAAGTGGCCCACTGGGCGGTTGCCAGTTTGGACAAATAAGCGCCCTCTTCAAAATGAACAGACCCAACAAAACCATCAAACAAAATCCAAAACGAACCAAACAACCATCCTAAAACCCCCCAAAGAAAAACACACACCGTTGGAAAAACAACAAGACTTCTAAAAACAAACCATCCAAAAACCTAAAAAACATGGATCCAACCACCGTGAAGCAACGAGAACTCGCTGCTCAGCCGCGGTTCGCGTAAGCGTCCCAAGGCCCCAGCCGCAGTCCGCGAGCTCTGCCGCGCCGCCTCGCCCAACGCCTCAAGCGGATCCGCCGAGTCGAGTCGAGTGGATTGGCGTCCAAAGACCTGGCGGAGGGGGTGTGTTTGAGAAAAAGAGAATTGGAACCCTTTTTGGGGCTTGGACCATTTCTAGTGGGACCATCAAAAAAAAAAGGGGCAACATAATTGGTGCCACTGAACAACTGAGGAGGGTTTTTGTACTACACCTACACCTTGGGAAATCACGAAGAATGGTTCAAAAATTGATCCGGAAATGTGCCTAAATGGGGTCAATACCCAGTGGGTGTATTCCCAGGGTGTACAAAAACCCTTAGAGTCTGCTTGGCCACGAAACCTGCCAAAGTGGATTGGCCAAACTGAAAATCGGGCCAAACTTTTTTTGTTTACCACTAAAACTTGGTTGACGTTGGAAGGGGAGCAACAATTTATATTTTAGCAGTTCAGTGGGGATTTCCCACTAAACCACAACAAGAAAAATGTAAAATGTTTCCCAACAACAACCATGAAAAGAGTTCAAACTCGAAAAGTAGATGTCACATGAATACTACTCAAATGGTCTGCCCGAGTGACTAAAGCTCCAGGAACGGAACTCAGGGAGTGAGAACGTGGAACCTGACTGAGGGGGACAATCTGGTAAGTTTCATTTGGTAGATGGTTTTGGGTGGAGCCGCATCCTGAACCCCGGGGTTAATAGGATTTCTCTGGCGTTTCCAAGAAAAATCTGGCGGCCCTGACAACCGAAGCCTTCTTATGTAACCACAGGTCCCAGAAGGGACAATACTTTTGCCAACCCCGTGGCCCTGAAACCCAAGTCAACCATTGCCCTTGGAAGCTGGCAGCATGCAGCTCGAAACCATCATATTGGAGAGCCCTTTCCACCGTCAGACGTGCAACGAGTGATGTTTCAACAAGACTCAAAAAAAACACGATATGTCTTCATGCCCTCTGCCAAATGGTATCGGGTCATATCCTGTCCCAAACACGACCCCCCAGATCTGATGATCTGATTCCGAGGCGCGGCCAGAGCAAAAAGTCGTAGCATGTCGCCAGGATTTGGGAAACAACAGAAAGACTGCGAGTCTGGAGCCCAACGGCTTCGAGCGCACTGGACATGTGAGCTGGAGCTTTGGTTTGGCAACACGGCCGGCAGAAATGGTGAGCCTCGGCATCCATGTTTCTAAATGTTGTTGACAAAACTCAAAACAAAACGCTTCCCTGATGAGACGAGCCTATGCCATGTACCTCGAAAAGTAGGCTCCAGGCACTTCCACACGAACGGCAACTATTAATCTCACTTCCCGAGTGGATGGAAGGTCCAAAAAAGTGACATTTGTTTGTTGGCCGCTAAAATGGTCTTCCCAAAAAGATAGAAAGTCCAGGAACTCGTCAAGTGAGTGTTGGGTACAAATTCACTGACCCCGGGGGGGCTTTGTGAGGACATGGTTTCGAAGTCAAAGGGACGCCCGTGTTTAGCACCACCATTTGACTCGCGCAACTAGGCAGGACAAAGTGGGGGATTTCCGCTTGTGTTCCCTTCAAACAAAGCTTCGAACGGGACCCTCAAAAAAGGCACTCCCATGATCTCGGGTTTTTGACATGCACATCCCGCATTAGCCTTCGCATGCCCCTTGTGTGCCAGAAGAAAAGCCGACTGATGCACAAGTGCATTACAGACTCCATCGACCTCCTGACATCCAGCTTGTGTGCACGATCTGGAATGTGAAGACCCTCGTGCACAGACTCGGAGAGCAATATTACATTCGTAGATACGCACATGACACGTCTTACGCCTCAAGTCATGCCTTCCCCTGAGGGCCACAGGTTGTCGATATTGCTGTGAAATGGCCGCCAAACCTTGACCAAGGTTTAACGTCACACACACACACACACATACCGAGAGCGGAAGAGGGAAGGCTGCGAGAAGCTATATAACACAACTGGTTGAAACATTAGTAACAGTTTACTAGTAGAATCATACTCAAGGCTGGTTTTGAAGTATCCCACAGCCCCATTCTAAATGTTGGGCCCTTCGTGTGGTGGAGAAGAAGCTGTTGAGAGGTTGTCAGAAGAACTGGATGCACTGGCATTACCCTTCTTGTTCGGCTCAATAGCAAAGCATTGAAACAAGCTCAGCGCCCTCAACCATGCCGATAAATTCGACCGTGCAGGAACAACCACTTCCCTAAGCTGGCGCAAGGTGCGGAACCGCAGTGGCCATAGGGGCAAAAAGGAGATCCATTTGTTGCCAGCTATTTCAAAAGGAACAAGCACGTAAACACAAAGTGCTCGGTTGCTTTCTGCTCCCCTGCTAAAAGTTTAACTTTTCTTGTTTTAATTCGGAAAACCCTAACATCCCTTGGCAAAATGCACCAAGGAGTGGGCTTCCGTTTCCCCCGGCCGCAGGCGATCTCAGCTAGCCACTTCTGCTGCCGGTGGCGGGGCAGAGGATCGCGAAGGCGGGGGATAACCTGAAGATAGCACCATGAGCCATGTTGGCGTCAGCCTTTTGCACTTCTGAAAATAAGCTCAGGCGGATATCCCCAACAGCATGCGGTGCTCTGTTTAGTGCTCGCACCACTCCGCAGCCCCGGACCACCCCGGAGCCTATCTGGGCCGAGACCCCAAAGCTTTCAGCTGGAGAAAAAAACCAACTGACATCACTTTCACCCAAAAGCCATTGTTGGTGGTTCAAAGGGAAAGGGCCCTTTGCCACGTTGGTTGGAGTCAATGGGCTTCTTCAATCTTGCAATCCGATGAGTTCGCATGAACATGACAAGGTGCCCGTGTGTGTGTGTGTGTGTGTGTGTGTGTGTGTGTGTGTGTGTGTGTGTGTGTGTGTGTGTGTGCGTGCACGTGCCCAAAAAACTCTCTAAGGGAGGACAACGGTGCCATTGGACTGGGAAAACTGATGTGTTACGAGTCAATCCCAAGATGTGGCAAAGCAAGCTGAGAGCAGCAGTCAAAGCGTAATGTTGCTTCCCTGCACTTTCCCTAACGCAAATCCCCGCCAGCTCCAATAGTTATTGTGGCAGGAAACACCACACAAGGAAAAACTCCAAACAGAAAGAGTGGTGTGCGCAACTTCCATTTGCTTGAGGCCCCAGAAAAATATATTTACAGTAGTGATAGATTTCTTTTTAACCAGCAGGGGACAATTAAATCCTATTCCTATGCAACTGAGGCCCCTGAACAAAAAGGAAAAACAACACTTCCAGTAGTGAAATCGATTCCCCTTAAAACCAATGTTTTAATAAAACCAACTATTCTTAAGCAAATGGAAGGCAACTGTTGGCTGCGAGCACTGACATGAACTTCTTGTCACATTGCACCCTACGAGCCAGCCGGGCAGCGAGTTGCTGCCTTCAAACGATGGATGCTTGCAATGTGGGGTATAAGATCTCTCTATGACCTGTATGATCCTTTTTATGACGCTCATGATAACCACCATGTTCTCATGTTTGGGTCTCATGACTGGGTGGGTCCTCCCTCCCCAGGCAAAGCACCACATCCTTTTGCAGTTCCTACCAGGACGCAAAGCCGGATCCAGCCATGGGAAACCGGTGGCTGCCCCGGTTCCATGGTCAGTGGAAGTTTCCAAGCCTAGAGCCTGCTTTGACTGTGGCATCGAACTGGCTACCCCATTGGTCATGGTCATAAGGCTCTTCCAATGTGTAGTTCGTCAGCCCTACTTGCTCCCTCGCAGATCAGATCAGCGTAGAACCCCCCAAAAAAAAACACCGTTAGAGGGATATCTTTTTCTTTGGGGTGCGGGGGGGGGGGGACCTATCTTTAGAGGACCCCCCAAAAAAAGAAACCCACTGTTAGAGAGATCTTCTTTTGTTGGGGGGAAACCACTTTTGGGGTTCCTTGTTGAGGGAGGCGGACCATGCCAAACCCACCCGGCCTTCAGCAGCCCGGACTTCGGGCGCCTGCCAAATCCAACGCCACGCCCGCAGAGTCGGAGGAGTCAAGAGATTCAAACACAGAAGTTGTGAAGCCCAGTGCTGGCCACCATAGGGAACCCAGAACTGATGTAAAGCCTATAGGAAACAATCCTTGGTCACCTACTACAGTAGTAACTGCCTCCTTTTGGTCGGTAAAAACACACACACATCCAATTGGGGAGGGGACCGGAGGGGCGCCCTATTTTGAGAAACACGCACATGGTGTCGCAAGCACCTGATCGCAGAAAGCGTTCAGATCTGGGCGCCAAAAGGACATGTTCGCCGATCAGCCTCTCGAAACAACACCTGTGGAAAGCCAGAAGACCTCCTGTGGCGCCAAATGTCAGGGTCAGACCCGCTTACATGGAAACGGTCCTTAATAGGCACCCCTATACTGGTCGCTTAAAGTTCGTGCTCGGGCGTTGGTGAAACTCCCTGCCAATCTCAAGTTAAAAGCTTGTGTTCACCATGGCACGTGTAGTCTCACAGCATGTCGCATGAACACTTCTGCAGTTGGGGTACCGCCGTTTGGCTTGTTTATAGACGATAAACCGGTTGGGCGACTCCTGGATCACCCAACACCGATACCCAGCAATTCTCCCATAAAGTGCATTGCCATGTTTTCAGGTTCGTCTGCAGCCAGGCCACGTGCTTGATGCATAGTCGTCACATAGTTGGTAAAACAACAGGACGGGTTCCATTTTTTCCGGAATTCTCAACCGAGTTTGGAGATTGTTGGCTTGTTTCAAAAAATAGCAGTACATAATAACTGATTTTATGGTTAAACTATCTTGAATATTTGCCAAATCCATATCGGATAATTAAAAAAGGCTCCTTAGGCCTTCAGATTACTATTTCTAATATTTAATCCATCCCAGTGCTTGCAGGTACCACTATAGTAGGTAACCAAGTATTGTTTCCTCTTGGTTTTACATGCTGGGTTACATGCTGGGTTTCCCTGGTTACCTACCATAGTGGTATCTGGAAGTGCGGGGCATGTGATGCTATATTGCATCAATGCATCTCCAACTTCTATCAAGTGACATCGAGTCGACTCATAGCCCGCCTGCGCCTTATTTTGCTTCTCAGTGCTCATGGAGGCCGCCAACGCACGCTGCAGATCTAAGTCCTGTGCGGGCATGCCCGGACGGGTGAAGTCTCAAATGGGTCTGTGCCAAAATGAGGAGTGGGGCGGGGGGGCGACAAAATTGGCGGGTCTCATTCTGCTTTGCCTTTACACCAGCCTGAAAAGACTACCAACTCTCTAAAATAAATGTGCCCGCCCTATTTTTGAGACATAATTACCCAAACACGGGTTGATGGCCAACGAATCACCTGGCTCGAAGTGTTTCTTGCTTGGGCCACATCAAAGATTGCGTCTAGGTGAAGAGCAAGAAGGAGCCCCTTCTCAAACGTTCTCAAATACCCCGGAACTGCAATGTTTGACCCTTCCAACGGGCAACGTCAGGACCCTTCTTGTTTTTGAAAACCGGTGTCACCGGATTTCCATTGCACATGGCAATTTTGCGGAGGTCCAATCAATGAACATGCCACTTTAGGAAGTGGTATGTGCTTCGCTGGAAAGACACTCAAAAGAAGGAAACAAATGCCCAGTGGACATGGTTGTGAGACATATTCCTTTTTGTAGTACCATTCCTGTGACTACTTGTCGGATTAGGAGTCTCTTGCTATTGCAGAATATGAAGAACAAAAACGTGCTCGGCAGACGTGTCCTGACCCCTGCTTGTGTCTCCCAGTTCTTCCAGTTACCCTGAACTCGGAATTTTCACCTCTAGGTTGCACAGCATGGTACCTAACTCCAGTAACCACTACATATTTTTACCTAAGTTGCAAAAGGCTATGTCTTTTGAGGCTTCCCTTGAGGCTGGTTAGGGAAACCAAAGGGAGACCCATGACCCAGACAGCAACTTAGACTCGATGCTACCTAACTGGAGGCACTGGGTCAGTCTATCGGTCCTCATCGCCCTGTGGGGCCTGGGCCTGCTGCGCCGATTTCTTCGGCGGCACCGGCACGCCAGTGGCCGCGTCCAGGGCGTCGTGCGCCGATTCGAAGGCATCCCGCGCCACATCCACGCCTCTAGGCGCGGCCAAGCAGGTCCCACGGAGGGAACGCGGCATTTCATCCCCCCTTTGGGAGCAAGGGGGCGGGTTCTAGCCCCCTGCCTCCCAAAGGGAATTACCCTGACCCCAATTCACCCCCTCACTCGATTCCAGGGATGAGAAACCTGCCATTTTGGATTTTGGCCTTGAGGGTGTCCTTCCCAAAACACGCCCTTACCAACATTTCTGGTCTAGGTCCTCCAGTCGAGAGGACCTAAGAATAAGGGCTACCTATTTTTTCCTGTAGTCTATTTTGGGGGAACCCTCTCAACCAAAAGGGATACAAGGGCACCCAGCTGGGGGTTTTAGTGTTTCCTGCCGGAAACCCGCGCCGTCCATCCGACCATCCGTCCATCCGACCGATCCGGGGCTCCGGGCCGTGCTTGGCGGCGCGCGCCGCGCTGGCGGTCGCCGCGCTGGCGGCCTTGGAGGCGCTGGCTGCCGCGCTGGCGGCCTTGTCCTCGTGCTGCGCCAAGCAGCTCGTCGATGTGTGGCTGCGTGTTTTTGAGTTTGAGGTTTAAGGCCATGTGTTTGGGTTTAGGGTTTGGGGTTTGGGGGTTGGGGTTTGGGGCAAAGGGGGGAGGGGCTGCTCCCTTCAGCTCAAGTTTAGTGTGCTTCCCAATTTTCAAGAGGGATTTTAGTAAGCTTGGCCAGGCAAATCCATTTAGTGCTTCTGTGTGTTTTGGAGTTTAGGGTTTGGGGTTTAGGATTGGGGCAGGGGGTGAGGGGGGTGAGGGACGGGGGGGGGTTTTGTGCTTTGGAGGGGATGGGGATGGGATTGGGGGGAGCTGTGGGGGGATGGGGAGGGGGGGATGGGATGATTGGGGGGATGGGATGGGGCATGGGGGATGTGGCTGTGGGTCAGCACCAATGGTACCATTTTGGTTAATAGGTGCACCACTCAGTCTAGAACCTATTTTAGTGGGGATTGGGATGTTCACTGGCAACAACTGGGCTTTTGACCCATGGCCATGTGGCTGTGGGTCAACACCTAGGAAACCCCAGGTGAACATCAAAATAGATGGTACATGGGTGTTCATCCGCCCCAAAATGGAGGCATAGGTTATGACCCATTTTGGGCCTGTGTATGATTTTTGGGGGGTGGGTGGGGGGGATGGCAGGGGGGGGGATGGGGAGGGGGTGGGATGGGGGAATGGGATAGAGGATGGGATGTGGGGATGGGGGATTTTGTGAGCTCCCACCTGGGAGGAACCGTTGCCTGATAACATGCTGCTAAAAGTGAATCTAACTTATGGGTTAAACTCTTTAAACCCACCCACTAAACCCACTAAGCAAAAAACCTAAGGGTTGGGAACCACCAAGCCGCAATGGCACAAGGGTGTTTTTTTGTTGGTTGGCTTTTAAACCAAAACCAATACAACATTGGGTGGGTTCCCTCCAAGCAGCAGACAGACCCAACTTGGAGTAGGACTTTCGTGCGGGGAAACGTAAAGAGTGGAGAAAGCCAATGGGGCGAGCTCAGAGCCCAAGGCCCTAATGAGATCTTGGGCTCCTAGGTGTTTGTTCGTTTTTTCGGGATTCGGAATCCCCTTTCGGTTGGCTGAAAAAAAAGCGGAAACCAAAGGACAACCAGAAAATCACCATTGGGGGGGTGGGACCCCGAAAAAAGACACACCCACATATTTCAATAGAAGGTCGTGTTTCGACTTGGCGCTACCAAGAAGATAATTTCTGCACACATGGAGGCGAGACATAGCACTTGTAAGGGGCATGGCGTTTGCAAGCTTATGTTGGCTGTTTTTGTTTAGCATGCATGCCAAGAACCATGAGGAATGCCCTTGATCCGAATTCACTGATTCTTGTTGGGGATCTGACCCCTTTCCACCAATTCGTCCATTCCACTGGCGCAGGGTTTGGGATTAAGAAGGTCAATTGTGTGGGTTTCATCAAAACCAACACCAAATACCCCAGAGGCTATCCCGGACTGGAGACCATCCGGTTTTGGTTGCCTTTCATCATTTTTGTTCAATGACCGGCCGGTTCCCCCGAGTTTGAGAGTTTCATTTCCCAACTGGCAGCTTTGGGGCTCCATATCGGCTCTGTTGGGATTTGCCGCACGGAGATCTCCAATCCCTTCCCCTTCCCGAAAATCATTGGCATTTCTCCACGCCCCGCCCCTCCAGGTGTATGCTCAAGGAATCCACCCCAATTCTTGTCAGCCAGCACCTGTCTTCTAAAACCTGGTGTTTCACCTGGGCTGGCCTGGTGTTTCACCTGGACTTTTTGGTGGTCTCTGGAAAGACGGATCCCCAAAAATGCGCAAGCTGCCACTGATTTGAGACGCCACCGTCAACTCTCCCATAGCTCCTTCAGACTGCCAAGGAAGGATGAGCTCCGCCTCGACGCCTGCCGCTTGCTGAGAAATCAACATGGGTGCCTCAACATTTAACACGCGCGGCCCATGGAAAATGCAGTGGTTTCCCAAAAAGACGTGGGAAAAATTGGGGTGGTCTTAACCTGTAGCTTCTGTGGAAACTTGGGTGCGCCTGGCCCCCCGCCCCTTCTTGGCTTCCGCAAATCTTGAGCTTCTGGAGCCGTGATGCAGTTGACCGCTGCTTCGCCGGCTTGCAAATGAACAACCAACGTTGGTTTTGCAACGTGGGCTGCTTTAAGGTCCAGTTGGACGTGTCAAAGGATTGGGTTAAAGGCGAAACTCTGGAAATTGCGCAATTGTCAATCGAGAAGCTATGAACAACATAACTTGTGAAAGATTCTCTTGTACCCCAACCCTTTGAACACGTCCCTACGAGCAAAGCTCGCCAAACAAAATCGCAACCGCCTAACAACCTACCTGCCGCTTGTTTGTCCCATCTATATAGCCTGTTGGAATCATCTGGTTGTGATGTTGTGGCTGCCAGTGTCCTCCATGGCTTTGAAGTTGTGTGGTAACAAATGTTGTCTACTTGAAAATAAGCATTGGTTCGCTGTTCTTAGCTGGCACGACTTGGCATTGAATGACATTGATGTGGAGTATATATATATAGTTTGCAACATTGCGAAAATGAACCCCCACCCATACATCCATCCAGTGGTTTCGCCAGCAGGGAGCTGAAAGGCACACACCGATTGCAATCGACTCACACCGAAAACGCGAGATCCGTGAATCCGCCTCGGATCCATGGGATGAAGTCGAGAGCCGGAACGCCATGGCAAATGCTGGTGTCTGATCTGATGTGCATACTAGTTGTTTGTCTGCGCGGGCTGGGCTGGTGTTCACAAATTCAGGGCAAAAAGTGTGATGCCTTTGGGTGTCTGTTTTCATGCCATGCTCCAGGGTTGCTTTGGTAAAGCCCCGTGTCAAGTGCTCCAATGGAAGAACTCGATGGCTGGAAGGCTTCAAGGTACCTATGCAAGCACACTCTGTATATCCAAGGCTGTGGGAACGCTCGAGCGGAAGGCAAAAGAGGGCGCCTGAAGCTACTGTTTTTGGTGCTCTTGCAAGGGAACGAAGAGCACACCACCCAACATATGGGGAGAGGGGACTCCCTGATCTTGAGACAGACTCAGAATAAGTTGTATTGGCCGGATATTCCGGACCTATGCGATTGGTTAGCTTTCTTGCATTCCGTGGCTGGTATGCACCAAGATTCGTGGATTCCCTAACCCAAGGTTCAAATGACACTGTTTGCCTTACGAATAAAAGAGAGAGCAAATGCACAGCGTCTAAGTCAAACGACTGGATCAAGTCAAACCCAATATGTCAATAAGTATTTTAGCCAAATCCAGTTCTTGAGTCCTATATGTCCAGTAGTGATACTCTTCGTCCCACTAACATAGCAGGGTACCTCGAAGATCAATTTCCTCTTAAAGAGACCCTCTGTCAGGTGCCGTGTAGATCCCCTCTAAAACCAAGAAAGGACAACAACAAACAACTTAAGCAAATCTCAGATGCCCAGTGGGCATGGGAAAAAAGGCATCCTTTTTGGTTGGTTGAGTTTCAAGAAGAACCCTTCCAAAAAAAAGTTGAAAAAAGGGGCGGAATCCACTGGGCAACTTAAGCAAATGACATCCTTAGGTAAATAATGGTGGTTCTATGAACCTCCTTGCCTCTAATGGTGGCAACTGAACCCCGGGCTCGCACCGGTGGCCAGTGAGGGAGTGCACCACTTGCAGGTCGAAGCCATCCTCCGGGAGAAAGACAGCCCCGTGGTTTCTGGGCCCGCTAAAAGTTTAACTTAAAATTTAAATTAAACTTCCGATTCGGAAGCTACCACTAAACACTAAGCTAAAAGGCTAAGGGACCGGATGGCTGGGAGCCACCAAGCTTGGTGCGGACCGAGTTTTGGATGGAGCCCCCTGTAAAAAAATATTCGGAAAGAACGGCACCACTGGGTAAGTGTCTGGCTCTGATCAAACTCTGAAGATTTGGTGGATGAATACTTAGTTGCCGAGTGGTCCCTGCGATGCGAGTACCTAGGGCGAGCAGTTTTCGTGGGGCGGCAATCGAAAAGGAGGGGAACAAACCGCTGGCTCAAATGTTTGATATATATATATATTATGGTTCGGTGGATGGTTCAAATGATTTGGGTGAATTTTACCTTCGTCATGCCTGGGGGTTTCAAAGCCCTCAGAAACACTCTAGTTTCAGTCTCGTAAAGGGGTAGACATGGTGGGTGCTTTCCTCCTAACCGGTTGGAGAATGGCCACTTGCAACAGCATGACCTCTCGAGCGCACGTTTTCTGCGCAGTGCACAACAAAAACGCTGGTCTAAAGCGCCGGTGTTCGCATCCGGATCAGGGTCTCATTTTGGACCCCAAAGTGGACTTGCCAAAGATCGGCTGGGTTGGAGTCATTGGGTCAAAAATGGAACCTTGATCCAGATCCCTGAAAATCAACCTCCAGCCTCCAAAACGCCAAAGAGTCCTAGAGTTCTTGTGCTCCAGTGGCTATCCACAAGATCGCTGGAATTTGGAATTGTGCGGCAAGGCAAATGAAACTCACGTGTAGGAGTCACAGTGGATGTCCATTTTAGAGATGATACAACCCCCTGTTAATTGACGCCTGGCTGAGTTGAGGCGCTTGAAAACCGAATATTTTCAATTCAGTTGGCACATCAAGGGAGAGAACCTTTATCTAAAACGGCAATATGTGGTACAGCGTTGCTACGCCCCCACCCCCCCCCACCCCTCACCCCCACCCCCCCCTCACCCCCCTCACCCCCCCTCACCCCCCCCCCCACCCTCCCCCCCCCCCCCCTCACCCCCCCACCCCAATGGTCATGGGTCAGACAAGTAGCCCCCCCCCCCCTGTGGCTGTGGTCCTGTGGTTGCGTTGTGGTGATTTAGGGTTGGTTTAGGGTTCGTTTAGAATTGGTTTAGGATGCATTTAGGGTGTATTTGTGGTTAGTTTAGGTTTAGTTTAGGGTTGGTTTATGTTGATTTAGGATTGGTTTACGGTTGGTTTAGGTTTAGGGCTTATGGTTTAGGGTTTGGTTTAGGGTGTATTTAGGATTGGTTTAGGGTTGGTTTAGGTTTAGGGTTTATTGTTTAGGGTTTGGTATTTAGAGAGTACCCCCCCCCCCCGTGGTTGTGGCCCTGTGGTTGAGTTGTGGTGGTTTAGGGTTGGTTGAGGGTTGGTTTTGAATTGGTTTTGGCTGTATTTAGGGTATATTTAGGGTGTATTTATGGATAGTTCAGGGTTAGTTTAGGGTTGGTTTATGTTGATTTAGGATTGGTTTAGGGTTGGTTTAGGTTTAGGGCTTATGGTTTAGGGTTTGGTTTAGGGTGTATTTAGGATTGGTTTAGGGTTGGTTTAGGTTTAGGGTTTATTGTTTAGGGTTTGGCATTTAGAGAGTACCCCCCCCCTGTGGTTGTGGCCCTGTGGTTGAGTTGTGGTGGTTTAGGGTTGGTTTAGGGTTGGTCTGGAATTGGTTTTGGGTGTACTTAGGGTGTATTTGTGGTTAGTTTAGGTTTAGTTTAGGGTTGGTTTATGTTGATTTAGGATTGGCTTAGGGTTGGTTTAGGGTTGGTTTAGGTTTAGGGTTTATTGTTTAGGCTTTGGTTTAGTGTGCATTTAGGGTTTGTTTAGGGTTGGTTTAGGGTTGGTTTAGGTTTAGAGGTTTACGGTTTAGGGTTTGGTTTAGGGTGTATTTAGGGTTGGTTTAGGGCTAGTTTAGGGTTGGTTTATGGTTGGTTGCGGGTTGGCTTGTCCTGGGGTGAGGGTGCCGGGGTGTCGGGGTGCGAGTTCAGGGGGTCGGGGTGGGGGTGGGACCGTAGGTGCCAGGATGCGGGGGCTCGGGGTCTCGGGCCGGGGGGGGGGGGCCTGGGGGACCCATACCATCTGGGGGGGTAGCAACACGGAACACGGTACTATTGTTTGTAGTCTGGGCCCTTGCAAATCTTCTTGCTGCGCCCAATTAAACATGTCAGTATGAGTTATCGCGCCAACCCAAAGGGCCTAAATAAAAACGGGGCTGTGGGGGCACTGTTGCACCGAATAGCCCACCATCATGGGATGAATAACGCTAGACATTGTTTATCCACGGATGTTGCTGAGTGAACCTTCTGAAAACATAAAGCCTGCAAAGAGGTCCAATCCCTGCTTTTCCCCTGGGCTTCAACCCCCATTAAAAGAATGGTTCACCCAACTCAAATGATGACAATCCTGAGGTAAGTCATGGTTTTACGAACCCCCCCTTGCTTTCATGGTGGAAACCGAACCCCAGGGTTTCCGTGCGAAGGCGAACTCCGACCGAGCGAGCCCTGCCTTCCGAAAGCTGCATGAGATGTTGTCCGACGACAGGCGTTCCACTGCCTGGTGCATCGTTGCAACCAAAGAGAGTCAAACTGCGGGCCCCCAAATTCGGAATGGACCAGCTAGTCAAAACCGATCGAGGTGTTAAAACCGTCCACCCAGAACCGTGTAAAGAACTAAAGCCGAAGGCATCCAAATTTATGGCAAGGGGATTCTCTCTTACTAACCTTCATCTACAAGGGTCTTGAGGATGTGGCTCACATGGCTCTAACAGTGGTGCCACGGCGGGTCTTGTGATGATTCCAGGCATGGCCTGGATTGGTCAAACCAATCTGCTCAATAATATGGCTGTGGCTCTGGTTGTCTGAGGCTTGGTGCCCGGTTTGGGGTTGGTTTTTTCTATTTGGGAAACCGAAAGGAGCGCCGCCGCCAGTTCTTTTGGGGTTCCCTGATTTGGACGCACATCCAGATTAAACCAGAGGTCTCCTGTGAAAAGCCGTATCCATATTGTCGAGCCCAAGAGCATCTTTTTGGCCATGGCGTGAAACGGGGGGAAGCTACCTTGGGTAGCATCGTCAGCCTCTTTGACTCTGATCGTTTCATGCTTGTTCAATCCCACTTCTGTCACTTCATCGCCCTTGCAATCATCTCTCAGCCATTTGCAGATGTCAACCTCCGTGAATGGATATCCCTTCCGCTCGAGCCAGGCCACTTCCGCCTTCTGCGAATTCCCGAGACCTTCCGACTCCTCCAAACAGCTCCGATCCTCCGCTGGGAGCCACTGCAAAAACAGCCGCTGCTTCTCCCTGCTATGCCTCAGATGCGTGGATTTCCATGGCCAAAACAAGGATCGGCATCCTTTTTTGGTTGGTTGACTTTCAAATAGAACCCTTCCCAGAAAAAAGAAAAGAAAAAAGGGCACTACTGGGCAACCGGGATGCTGAGAGGAGGAGTCGTAGCGTTTCTTGCTGCAAAGATGATCGATCCCCGCTTCTTGGGAGCACTGAAACTCTTCAGACGCCTCAAAGCTGCTCATTCGCTTGTTAATGGCCTCGCGCCGCAGATTTTCTTGGCCGGCAGAGTCAAAGTTCAGTACCTTACCCTTGCCGCAAGCTTGCTCAAAAAAGTAGACATGGAGATCGGCCCCGGCGTGAACGGCCTTCTCGACATTGGCAATCCACAATGACCACCATAGGCAGCCCCAAGGCTTCTTCTCTCCATACACAGGGCTGCACCAGCAATCACCCACCAAACCTTCCTGAACTGGTCCATCGGTCGAACTGGAAACCCTGTGAGGTGAGAAACCATTGTCCAACAGTTGCCTGTTTTCAATACAGGGGCGAATCCGCCAAAATGGCCAATATTTTTGGACACCAAACTCAAAACGCAAGACGGCCAATCACGCCAGTCCAAGCTTCGGATTGTGGGATGCGGCAATGTTTCCCGTAGTTCCTTGTACCATCTGGAAGAAAGACCACGGCAGCGCTGGTTGTCCCTCCTCGAGCACTCTCCACCAAGCGGTCCCACGCTGTGGCATACTTTCCTGGCCACGAAGTGATGCAGGGGTAACCGTGCCTCAGCTTGGCCGTCACGACAATATGTGCAGCGCCTGACTAACTACTTATATAATGCTCTCTCTGCTTAGAAGATGACGCCAAAGATATTGCTATGTTTAACATGTCAGTACATAAGTCACCAAACACAAGCACAAATGTTTATCATGACCCATCTACAGCAATGGCAATGGCGGGCCCACAGATTTCACGAAGACCGTTCCAAAGCGCTTACCCTGGGGCTCAACCGCCATTCAAAGAATGGTTGACCCAACTTGGATGATGAAATCCTGAAGCGTAAATTATGGTGGTTATATTAACCCCCATTGTCCCCCCTGCTGTAGGGGGGAGGGGGGGTGGGGGGCCCCTCATTACATTTATCTAGTCTTCCCAATATAAGGGACAATGGAACCAGAAATGGAATTCTATTGGTTCCCCCCCCTCCCCCAATTCCATTTCTTAATGGTGGTAACCAAACCCGAAGGCTTAGCTTCTCATAAAATTTGGTCTCAGCTGCTCTGCGCGCACCGTGCCCTCAAAAACAATACATTTTTCTCGGAGCTCTCTGTGGGCTCTGCGGCTCAATTTCTTGCGCCACTTGCCGCCTGGCAATAGTAAACTCGCCAACATCCCCACAAAGGCGCATGGCGAGAGAGGGAGCACATAGCGAAGCCATTCTTCGACATTGCCAGCTAGCGCAAGCACAAGCACCGGCGCCATCATCCCGAGCACCGTGAAGCACAGAAGCAAGACACGCCGCACAGCTCGAGAGATCTTGACGGGTGGGCTCCTTAAAACCCGGTGAAGAAGCATAAAGTACAGCGTCATGCCAAACGCGGCACACGCCATCAAACCGCCGAGGTCCGCGCTAAGTATCGCAATGGCTTGAATTGCCGCTAGGGCGCACATTTCGAACACTGCCTGTGCTCGGGCCCTCCGCTCGGCCTTCTCTTCCAACATTTTCTTCCGCTCCTCGCGTTCTTTGTCTTCTTTCGCGACGGCGCTTCGCTCTTTCCGCACCCAGCTGCTAGCTTTCGAGCTGAAGTCTCCCAGATCCTCGGACGTGCGCAGGGAACGTGGCTCCAGGAGCCGCAGATCTACCGCGGAGGTCACCGACGGGGCTTCCAGCAACCGGATTCTGCAAGCCTCGGATGCGGCAATCCGTCGACTCTGCTTGGGGTACAGGAGGCGCCATCCGTCGCCCAAGTCGACCTCCACCAGCGCTTCAAGGTCATTCACTAAGTGAAGCTCGCCACCTGCGTCATCTTGCAGGTACATTTCAGACCACTGCCTCCTCACCTGAGCCATGAGTTGCTGGCTGAAGGAGCCCAAATCCCTGGAGACGTGGCAGACCTGCAAGTCCTCGCGGAGGTCGATCCGCGAAACTGTTGGATCATCTTGGACTCGGATCCCAAAGCCGTGCCTCGCCATTGCGCGAGACTGCCAGGAGCCCAGCGCCTGCCATCCGCTGCCCAAGTCCACTTCCACTGTGACCCGGAGGTCATTCAACAACTCAATTTGCGACTCGCTGGGCGGCTCGGGAAGAATCCTTTCAGAAAGACAACTTCCCATGGCGATCGGCCAGTGCAAGCGGATTGGTTCAAGTACTGACCAGCTGCCAAAGGACCTGGAAATAAAACGTTGACCTTTTGGAACCTTGACGAAATATGAACCAAAACAAGACAAACCCAAAGGTCAAAAGGTTGGCCTTGGGCAACTGAGTCTCGGGGAATACCGCTCAAAGAGTTCAGTTCATTGACAACATGTCTTACCTTCTGGCTCTGTTCCGAAGTACACATGAAGCTATGGGAACATGTAGGCTTGTCTCAAAATTAGGGAACCAAACAGATTGTGGTTTTCCTGATGGTTTCCCTGTAAATCAAACAAAAGGGTTCTTTCTAACAGAACAACAACACCATGTGCATCCCATGATCTAATCTGTTTGCAGGAGTCTACAAGAAACCGTGGAGCTGTATTTCACAGAACCAGCTCAAAACAGCTTATGATTGTTTGGTTTTGGGAGGAAACTGTAATGTGATCCTGCATCCAACACGACCTGTCTAATTACCCAGGCTCCCAGCTGAACGCAATGCATGTATGTGCTTGTGATCTTGAAAATGCTGGTGGATCTCATGGTTGCTAGGGTCCCATACATACATGCACCACATACAGCGCGTCTCTTGTCTAAAGCCGGGTTGTATTTTTCCAATGATTGTTTTCCTCCGAACTGTACGTGCAGCGCAACACAACCCCTGAATCTTTATTCTATGAAAACTCAGCTCCCATCGATCATACCTCTGCTAAACTAAGATCACATATCAAACAATTGCAGCTTATTCATTGAAACTTTTGAAAGGGAATTTGATGGGCATCCAAACAGTCAACAGTTCGGAGAGGCCAAGCAAACTCCTTTGAATGATAAAGGTTCGATGCGACCCTTCCATAGTTGGCAAGAGCAGCTGTCGTTTCCAGCCGTCCTGGCCTTTCTGTAGCCAAGCATGTTCTTGTCGGGCCACGGATTTATCAGCAAAGCGGCTGCGGAGGCTTCAAATTGTGCAACCAACCCGTCAGAACCCGGAGCGTTCCAGCTAGAGTCCATCTATAGTCGACTTTCAGTTGGTCTACACAACTGACATGATTCAATTTGTGATTCGAAGCCCTGCGTATCGGGAAATCGGCGAGAACTAGTGGTATACTCCGTTTCTCGACACTTGATTCGCCGCTCGTCACCATGCCAATACCCGCCGCGAGATCCCCCAAAAACCCAAGGATAAGCTAAGCCCCATAGCTGTCACGCACATTGGACTCATCTGAGGCAAGCAAATCAGGTTATCTTAATCCGGTCACCCCGCGCTGCGTGCATTGAACTGGCCTCTGGGGCTTGGGGATCGCCTTGGGATAACTGCTTGGATCTTGACCAAGCCCCTGACACTTCCAGCTCCAAGCTGGGGAGTCGACGTAAATCATACGGGTCATGGTCAATATCCAGGTGTCTCGTGAAGACATTGCACCTTGCTCAGTAGTCCCATTTCGTACTAGTCAATTTGGTGTGCGGATTCGCCCCATTTCACTCTCTTAATGATTGTACCCAGCCACACGCCGTGAAAAGTCTATTTTCTGGGAACATCAAGAGCCGATAACCGTGCAAAGATAGGCTACAACCCATTATCTCGTCCATCGTTTGCTGGTTGCTAAATAGGGGGTCTAGAAATATATAATATATACATGCATACATACATATGTATACATATTGTATATGCGCGTGTATCAATTATTCATCCCTTTTTGATTTTCTTCCGGGGGAAAACTAAACCATATGGGCTGTTTACCTCTGCCAACAGGCCACCGACATCACCTCGCCAGCCTCGATCCGCACATCCACGGTGATCCACGGCGTTTGCTCCTGGCATCGGTAACCAACCCCTCGCAACACGACGAGAAAACGGCCGCGATGCGATGTCGACTGGGCTTGCACTCTTCTTCTTTTTGATTGTGGAAGGGGAAGACTTTCCGGATGGGTGTATTCTTTTTAGGAATTGTGAAGCATTCCAAGAAGATTCATCAACCGACATAGCGGACTCAGGAGAAAGGGAACCTTCAAACCCTGATATCACAATCCGGGCCCTGGCTTGCTTTGGTGGTTGAAATCCAACCACTTAACTGCTAAAAAAAAACATGCTCCCCTTCCAACGTCAACCAAGAAGGGAGAGCAGCAACTATAATTCTGGAGTCCTGCTTACTTCCAGCCCAATTTGTGTCAGTGTTTGTCAGGACCACAAAGATAAACCAGCCATCTGCATCCAAGACGGCTTTCATTGCACCCAAACCGGTATCCTATCTTAGGCTCCGGGAGCCCTACGACCCCATGCCATCTAGGTGAATGCCAACTTTCTAACTCCCTCCCCCCAAGCAAACAAGCTTACCAAGCAGGCGATCGTGGGCCGAAATCTGAAATCGGCCTATGAGGAAGGCTGCCACTTGGGCGACTAGCACCAGTCATTCGAAGCATTTCATCGCGTGTCTTCTGTGTCCATGGCCGTATCCAACACCGTCATTTTGGGGGGCGCCAACAAAACGAAGAAGCCCAGCTCAACAGCTCATGCCAACCAGGGTGCAAATTTCAACCAGGGATTGGTGGACATCATTTCGGTGGGGATGCATGTCCTACAACCACTTTAAAGCTGAGGTCCGCTATGTAAAACTCCTAGCCACCAGTCTCCCGCAACCAGTCACAAATCGCCACCAGTCCGGCTTTTCGGATGGCCAGCCGCCGTCCGGGTGAAACGTGACCAAGTGACCGCCGCGCCGGCACCCGAAGCCGTGGAGTATGTGCCCAAATAGGGAACTCGTTTGCACCTCTAAAGCCTGGGCTGCCCTCAGATCCCCTGCTAAAAGTGACTAACTTTTAGTGGGTTACGTGAAGCTACCACTAAACACTAAGCAGCTAAAAGGCGAAGGGTATGGCTGGGAGCCACCAAGAAAAGTGGTAGCTGTCAGGCTCCAGATGGCGGTGTCCTTTTTGAGGATCCCCTGCTAGGTGGCCTTAAAGAGAAAACAAAAGGAAAAACACATTATTTCTGGGGGTAGCCTGAAAAATACACACTCATATGGGTAGTCAACACACCTCAAATTGGAGGGATGCGCTTTCGGTTCCGTTTAAACAACAAGCACATTGTTCCGAGTCGGTAGGTGTTCTCAACCAGAAAGAGTTCCCTCCAGAAAAAAAAAAAAAAAAAACAGGGCGAGCAAATTCCCCAGCCACCTGCCAACCGGGATAGTTCCTTCCAGGAAAGGCTCATTCATATGCAACTTCAAGAACCTGCCAAAGAGGGCGTGAGGTGCAGAAACTTAACCAGACAAGGTGCATGGCAGTGTGAAGGAGTGCCAAGTGTGGGATGGATCTTCCGTGTTTTGGTCGCCATGCCAAAACGCCAAAACCTCACCTGCCTGAAGGACATGAAATGGAGGCTCACCTTTAGGGGGGCTTGATTGAACACAAACCAACCCTGGCAAACCCACAACTAGCATTGGCCGAAAAGTAAAACGACGTGGTGGCAAAAGGGGCAAGAGAAACCTAAAAACCGAAAGGGACACCGAAGGTTAAAACCCAAAGCTCCAGTGGGCAGGGACAAAAGGGCGCCCGCTTTGTGTGTAGTTGATTGTAAAGGGAAACCCCCTCCAAACAGAAGAACAACAGGGCTTGAGGTCTGGGGAAAGGGTCCATCTGCTTTGGATTGCCCAAAAGAATGGTAGAAATGGCTCCCGGCCGCTTTTGCCCGCTCACAGGTCGTATCGGCACTCGGCCACCTTGCGGGAACATGCAGCGACTGGGCAAAGAACCCGAGGAACCTGCCTTTCCACTAGACATCTGCTTGTACCCTAGACATCTGCTTGTACCGGATTGCGAGTCGACTCACGGCCAGGAAAATCGACCACCCAGCGGATGTTTGAGGAGAAATCAGAAACATGTTTAATTACCATATTGATGGCCTGGGTCACAGAGGGGCAGGAAACAACTTGCAGCTTCCGACCCCGAACTGAACCGTGCAACTTGTCGTTTCCGTTCTGGGGGAGGCCCCCGTTTCCCTGACCAGCAACAAAAAGGGGCCCCAGCACCAAGGGGGTTCGGTGCCTATCAGGTCGACTCTGAATCTGCACAGGCTGACTCATCCACCCCCTTTGCTTCCGTGGTTGGTGCGGATTCGTGCGGGTTAGTGCGGGTGTGAAGCAAACTCCTTTTTGTCCCATCTCTGAGAAAAGGGTGTCTGTGCCAGGGTTCCGTTGTTGAACACCACAGACTCAATAGACTTAAAGTTCCTTCGACGGAAATGAACCAACCATGGCTTCAAATCTGTCTGGGTGCTCAAGAACGCAAACGATTCAACAACTCCTTGATTCAAGCATGGCTTAAACCACGCTGTTCAAACCATATCCTGTTGGTGAAACCCCGTGGAAGGAGGTCATGGTCCGGTTCCTATAACAACATCATTTCGAACCACCGACACCCTGGAATGATTCAAATACCCTGCAAATACCAACAAGCGTTATGGTTTCCACCATGGTTTCAAAGTGGTACGAAATGGGCTTCAACAAGCCGTGTGCAATCCAAACTTGTGAGGGAAACAGCAACGCAGAATGTCCACAATATCCACGAGCAAGGTCGAGGTACAATCTATTCGGGCCTCTTTGATGGTTAAACAAGCCACTGACCCCAGGTGCATAGCGGGTTGCTATTAGCCCCAGGCCAAATTACTTATACCAGATTCCCCGCAAAGGACATGTCGTGGGAACTTCGGGCCAAAGAGGCTACCAAGAATTGTGTCAATGACTCCGTGACTCCTAGGCTTGTTTTTAAGGGGGCCTTAAAAATGGTGGTTGAAACAAAGGAACTTAAAGGAAACTGATTGACAACATACTTCCCTGATTAGTTCACCCTGTTTCTTGGAGAAGCCCTTCGGAACCACCCTGAGTTCAGCCTGGGTCTGTTCCAATAATTCGCAAATAAAGAACAATCAGGAGGTGCATTTAGCCCGTTGGCCTGCATGGGCCGCGGCTCCCCTCGGAGACCGGTGAAGTATTTCTTCAGCCTGGCTGAAACGCATGCGTCGAAAGCGGGGATAGCACGCTCTCGGGGGCTCTTGGGTCACCATTTTCAGGCCCATGTCAGATAGCTACCGTTGTCAGGCGTCACCAGTTGCCAATCTTATGGGCACGATGTCCGTGATGTCATGGTCTACCCTGTGGGCAGCTGGGCTTTTCGTGTATTGGTAACCCTGTCCATTGGCCACAGAGTTTCGGTTGAGTCAAGTCCAAACTGGCTGTCAACAAGTCTATGGTTTCCATTCCCGCCAAACCAAGGCTACCCCAGGGTAAATCGGGGGGGTGTACCCGTTATAGAGGCTATATAGTGGCTGTACATCCCATTGAACCCCTCGGGGTTGTGGTTTGGGGGTAGGGGAAACCGTGATAAGAAAAGTCCTGGAACTTAGGGAGTGAGCTGATGTGCACACATTGGGCCAGAGGTAAGATCCACAGATCCAGCTGCAACCACTGAACCGTTTAGGGCAAAAGGGGAGCCATGTCTTTTCGGATAACCTGGCTTTGCGGTGAACCCATCAAACAAGCACGGGTTTCAATTCAGCCGCTAAAAAACTCACCGTTAGTTTGACCATCTCGTCCGAGTCCTGGTCGGAATTGAAGTTGAAACTGCTTGATCGTCAACGGAATCTTTCTAGCGTTCCTTGAACAGTTGCAAACATTGTCTTTCGCGGAGTATAGGCTTATAGCAAAACGTGAAACAGTAGGATGGCCCCCTGTGCCAGTTCAGGCATCGTTTCCCCCGCTTCCCCTTCCACTCCCCTATAAGACAAAATTAACAGAATAAAGAGGTCGCCAAAAAGAAGATGCCTTAAAGCCTTAAAGAAGCCTTGTCTTCCCTGAGCATCGCCCCTATTACTGTGTTTATCCACAAGCAACCCTTGGGTTTTTTTTTTCGGTCGGTGGTTGGCAACGCGTAAGAAGTCCCAATTCGACAAAGTGTCAGCGACGCTTTTTCCAGGCGCGATGTTCAACTCATAGGCAAGAGGCGTAGCGGCCCTCCAGGACCGCCTTCGCGCTCAAAGACACAGCTGCAGCACGCGTCAGGCCTTGTTTGCCTCTGCCTCCTCCCACGCTACATGCTGCGACTCAATGCGGTCCGCCTGCTGATCCGAGATGATTTCGATTGGGAGGCCCCGTGATGTGTAAGAAGTCGAAATCCTTCCTTTGCTTTTGATTGGAACAGACTCCTGCCTTTAACAACGTGCGTTGCAGGGATAAATTGTACAAATCAAAAGATGCCATTTCAATAGGCAAGCTTCGTGCGCCGGCAGACCCTTGAACGATGCGGCCGGACAGCACGCTCCAAGGAATTTGCTTCCATCCACACCTCCGGCCCGGCACTCATCCAATGGATTTCCCTATGTCACACCCAACATCACCAACATCATCAACATTACCATGCAAGCAAACCAACAGCAGCTGGGATACTTCTGACAAACAAGTCGTTAAGCCGTCGTCTCAAGACATCATGAAAGGGAAAAAAGTAGCAATGCCAAGCACATGGAAGGATTGAATCAGATCGGCCCTGCCTATCTGCCAGGCACCTGCTGGGTTACACTTACTCTGCAATAGCACAACGACGCCTCGCCTGGATCACCTCGCCGCCTTCGATAATCTCTGGTATGGCGTTGAGTGAGACCGCAGAACTGCTTTGGCTGGTCCGTGGCCTCATTGCATTGGAGCAAGTCAATGGCGAGGGTCGTCAGCTTGGATGGTTCGTGATCCACTGGTGTTTGCCAAACACCGGTGGAAGGGTTGACCTTCCATGCGTGCGGACATGTAGCCGCCGTAGCCATGGAGGACTAGACATGGCTCGGACGAAGAGGCCTGAGGCAAAACGCTTGTGCGCTGAAAATGGCTGCAGGCATGGACAATGAAATCCAATGAAGCACTTCCACAATGGCTGGTCAACCAAGAGCCTCTCAACAAACGCACGGACTTGAGTAGCAGGCTGGAAGGAACCCGCATGAATTCGCTGTAGCACGTAGCGGGGCTATGCGGGACAGACCTTTGACGATGAGGCGCTGGGATCATGGATGTAAACACATGAAAGCAAGTGACCTCCTGAGCCACTTGTGATTGGCAGTGCTGCCTCACAATCAGTCATGAAGTGGCACGATTGGTGTCTTAGATAACGCGTCATGCACGACACAATTGCTACGCAACTCGCCGTCTTCAGACCAAAGCCCCAATCCGCTCAGCTCCAAACCGCCATGAAATCGCAGCAAGGGTTCCCTGATTTTTCTCATGAGTCTGAGCGTGGCCAGTGATGCCAACAACTCCACCATCATCATCAACTACAGCGGAGGCGGCCTGACAAACCGCAAATGACCACCACAAAGTGCACAGCGCACCAGCGTCCCGAGTCTAGAAATGGCGCGGGGAAGCCGACAGTCAAACCTGAGATCGGCTTTGCGTGTGGCCTTTGAAGTGCGTAAAGCCCAGCAAGCATCACAGGGCTTGGGCACCATGCACGTCCACAGGTGCCTGGCCCGTCTGCTCGTGGCAGGGATGTTTTGAGCCTTGGCACTGCGAACTCGGCCCGGCACACGGTAAGCACACCCGCTGAAGAAGGTGGGGGCTGCTCGTTTAAGTTGCAGGCGAATTTGTGGCCCTTTAAACTCATCTTATGTCAGCCCAACACGTGAGATATATGAAAATAAAAGGAGAGGTAAGTAAATCGACCCTCTTCCCCATGGAAGTGAACTCCGAGAGGCTCCCCAAAGAAAAGCCGTCTTCCAAAATAATCAGCGGGTCAGCCTCGATGAGTCTAAAGCAGAAATAAGGCAGCCACAAGGACTTTTGGTCGTGAGTAAGCTCTTTTGACTGGGCGAGCTCGCTATGATCTGCCCAAACGGGCGTGATATGTAATTAGGAAACCTTTGCTGAGCATCATTTAGGCGGGAATTCATGTCCACCAACCACCAAATGAGGATTATCTGAGAGAGGGTAGGGAACCTCGAAAAACCGCAACAGGCTTCTCGTGGATGCGCCTGGGAGGATTCGTGCCACGGCTGGCGGTGGTGTTGGTGGCCGCTTCCTATCCGCTCAGTGAGGCGAGAACAAGGGGAGGTCAAATGCAACGAAAGAGTGTCTTTTCACCTTTGAAAACAAACCAAAGGAAAACCACGTTGCGGGTTCATCTATTGTGCACACAAGGACCCTTGTCTTTTCTAAACGAAACAAAAGGCAAAGGGAAGTCAACTGTTTCCTGTGTGCTTTCCCCCATTTCAGTAAAGGTCCACGTATCAAACTTGTTTCCCCCAAGGAATTTGTTTTAGGGAAGGCGTTAGGGATCATGTTCAAAGGGAGCGAACCACTTGATGTAGGGATCGGATCCACGATGTTCAGGAAAGACTCATGCTGGACCAATGAGAGGAATCCATCTGTGAAGTCACACGGGTGCGTCCTTTTTTACGGGTGCGCCCAAACACGTAGTGTGCCTCTTGGCTTCCCTTTCGAAACCATTGAACAAAAATGGGGTACCCTCAAAACACACAGCCAATCACGCCCAGATGTGGCGAGGCCCGCGGATTTTGGAACCAAAGCTCACGAATTCCAAGGCCTACCGCACGCTGGGCCGAAGGCCAAAGGTCCTGTTAGCACGCGTGGAAACCATGGGAAAGCAGGACGTTTGTTGGTACTTACAGGGGAATCGAATCATTCCAGGGATTCTTAGGTGGTGCGAAATGGATTTCGCAACCATCCACAGTATTGGTAGAATGGGAGGGACCAACAGTGAACAGGTTACCATCTTTGACACAGCGATCAACGCAGCCCCTTGCTCTAGAGTGGAGTCGAGAGGGCTCTAACCCATTTCCGCCAAGGTGCATGCTATCGATTTTGCCGCGGATATTGAATGCCCTCGAGTTAGCAGCACTGAAAGGCTAAGTGAGTGCTTGGCACAAGGAAGACGTGTGACCCATCCCAAATGATTGGTGAATAGATGCATGAACATATGACGTGCCCCGTGTGTGTTGCAACCAAAGGCGCCCCATCTCCATTTTCTCGCGACTTCTGCATGGACACATATGCAAAGCACTGGAGGGCGTTAACTCCCCTGAGTCACATAGCCCGGCAAACCTTGACAAACCCCTCAAAAGCCGATCTTGTGCCTTGGGTGAACTGATTGCCATAGCTCGAGCCGATCTTGGGCCTTTCCACATACTTTTGGGTGAAGGGAAGACCTGGCTTTGTACGCACTATGTATTTGGGTCGTGGACGTGGCACCGTTCTCCCCAGTGAGTGTTTTGATGGAGGATGTGTGCGCCTCTCCTGAAACTGCCCGGGCTGGGTTCCCAAACTGCCCTTTGGCTTAAGAGACCGGCTGAAGAAACCTCCCCTTTTGTTTGGTGTATGCCACAAATGGGCGTCCATTTAAGCCACACCCAAACAACTCCGCCTTGGGCAAATAGACCTGCGTCTCGTTCTCTCTTCGCAGGTGGCTCAAAGCCTCGCAGGCAAGCGGTGGACGCGCATGAAACATGTCCGGGTTGCACCGAAGTTTCCTAAAGCCTCCTGATATGCAGCCAATGTTTGACCCAATTTGGATGATGACAATCCATAGGTAAACAATGGTAGTAATACTATGAGCCTGCATTGTTTTAATGGTCCTTTGAACCCCTGGCGTCTTTGTCCTTCTGAATGAGAAATACATCATTTGGATCCCACATGAATGTCTATCGGGGGATCCTGAAAGACCACGGTCCTCTAGGAGGTTTGCCTTGCCTACCCCTTCAGGCCTTCCTGTACATTCACAAAGCTAACGGCGGCAAAACCCCCCACCCCCAAAAAAAAAAAAAAACGCACACAACCCACCGAGAATTACTCCCCCGCCCCCAAGGAACCCCTTGGTACAGTACGGCCTTAGTAAGGGCTTGTCCCCCAAAACATAAATTAATCATGCCTTATTAAGCGCTCTTTCTTGGTGGGTCTTGGGTCTCAGCTCAGCTTGAACGCTTCGTTCCCTCTTGTCTCCACTTGGTCGTCTAGCAGAGCCGTAGCGCGGAAGGCATCTGCGATCAATTGGGCCTTTTTGAACACCCTGGTTCATTGCTTGCTGCTTCAAAACTCGGCTGCTTTCTGCTCCCCTGCTAAAAGCTTAACTGGTAGTGGTTTAATGGAAAACCCATTAGTTTGCAAAAAGTTAAAGTCCTAACATCCAAGCAACATGCACCAAAGACAAGGCGGGGGGGGGGAGTGATACCGCTGGATGGCATTTCCAGTGACAACTCTTGGCTTGGAGCAGCTTCCCGCTGTGCTGCTTTCCGTCATCAGTTTGTCAGCCTGCCTTTCGACACCCCTACAAATGGTTGCGCCTTCAAAAGGGGAGCCCTACGCAATGGGTGTTTTCATGCTTGCCTTCCGTGTGAACAACCCAACAAAGGGCTTGTTTGTACGCATGACGCTGGTTTGCCATTTTCAGACACGTGACGCCCAAGGGGCGTGTCTTTTGTGGAAGGCAGCTTTTCTACAGATGGTTGAAAGACAAATCTACACAGAAACCAGCTTCTTGAGGGTTCCCCCGTTTTCTCACATACCTGTTGGAGACAAACCCAGATGCTTGGCTCGCCCATGTTTTTCCCCAGCCCCGCCGTCTGGGTGGTGGAAGTCGTCTTGCGCCGGATGTCTGCCACGTGAAGAGCCTAAGCCATTACGAATGCATGGATTCCACTGGTAGCGATCGTTCCGCTGGTACATCCTGCAAGGTACCGGAATCTGCCAATTGGGAGTGGCTCCAAAATAGGGGTCCAGCATGCAACCCTGGCAAATGGAAAGCTAGGCTAAAACCCGCGTAACCCAAGCAGTTTAACTTTGAGCCACACCCAATGTTACAATATGCACAAAACCGGAAATACGGGATCCCCAGGTAACGCATCTTTACCATGGCTTTCGCTCGTTTCACCCCCGAATCGGGAGCTCGCTCTAAAGTAGGCAGATGATCCTGAAGCCCTCAAATCAGCACCAAATTGGTACCTCTGGGAACCGTTCCATTGGTTCCAGCCAAGTAATTTAAGGACACCTATGTGCTACCTTTGGCACTTCTCGCATTGGTTCGTGATAAAGGATTGTACTGCAAACCTCTAAGATAAACTATGGCCACTATACTAGGCAACTATTTGCTGCCAGAAAAAATGACAAAATTCCCGTTAACAAGCCAGCTGCCAAGTGGATATGACAAACCTTCTGACGCATCCGGCATACATTGTTGCGGGGATTTGCGCTGCCGCAATCCGATAGCAAACGGCTAAGAACAATTCTTGCAAGCCGAACTTCCGGTACCACGTGTTGGGCCGCCTTGAGGAGTCCATGCAAAAGGTCCACATGGTCTTGGCCCCAGGCCGCGTGGACACTACATTTTGGGAGTCCCTGACTCCCAGAAAAGGTGAACGAACCACTTCGATTGATTTCCTATTTTCCTAACCGTTGGTGTTTTCCAACACAACACACAAGCAAGGCAAGGGTGTATTTCGAAAAAACAACTAGAGGATATTTCAAGCTCACTTCGCGGAGATGTCTTTACAACCAAATTGGGATCCCGCAAAAAGTGTAACGTCCAGAAACAACAAAAACTCGGAAAGGCATCCCGGAGTCCAATCAACGTAGAAACCTCGATTTGCCGGAATGCGAGCATTTCTCAACGCGCTGGTGCCTGACAATTGCTTGGTTCCTCTCCCTTGCTATACCAACCAACAAGCGGCTCTTGCCAACCCTTGGTATGGTAGTATTGTTTTGCAGCCCCCTACAAAAAAAGAAAACCGAAACAAACTAACAACCTAAACACATGCCAACAACAGTGAAAGAGTTCAGGTGTGTTTTTTCAGGTGACCCTTGTTCGGCTGTTTTGAAAGAGCCAAATGGCTCTTTAGGAAACTCTTGAATCCGCTTCACCCCATGGTGTGGCCAAACCAAAGTTCCCAACTCTGATTAAACGGGAAACTGGCGAAAAATGGGTTTGTCTCAAACTCGAGGAACCCTCAAAATTGATGCTTTCCTATGGTTTCCCTTGAAAACCCAAAAACTGGGTACCATCAAAAAAGACACCCCCAAACAAAAATGGCAAAGACTATAAGCAAACACTGAACTCCAACAATGCTGGTTGTCCTCTTGATTATTCTTTCATCCAACCTCAAAAAGGGTAGCCTCAAAAACACACATACTGCGGATGGACGAAATCCCGCACCACTTTGAAACCACAGCAGGACACCAGATGGTGCAGAATTTCGTCCATCCACAGCATGGCCATGAACCAAATCGAGCCAACTCGATTCGAGCGCCCGGCATCCTGGCGCAGCCTCCACTCATTCCACTCGTAGCTCTTGTCGATGTAGCTATCCTTCCGCACTGCGGTACAAGAACACACTGCATCAAGATTGCTCAGCGAGTGCGCTGGACATGTTCAAACGACCCTCATCAGTGTAAATAGTGCCATTGATCGAGCTCAACTGAGGGACCCTCTCCAAATTCTGACACCGAGCGTGGGTCGGATTTCGCAAAACAGGCAAAAGCTGATGATCTAGTTTAGGTGGCCAACCACCGCGCAACTGGTGGGAGCGAGACAAGGCAGGACAACGAGCTTCTGACGCGGCTTGGGTTGCAAAGCACCACGCAAATTGTCCAAACCAAGCAGGCAGGACTGATGAGCGTAGTTGATTGGAGCATCCTACGTGCCAGAACAAGTGCTTCACCCGACATCAGTCGGTCAAGCCAACTCGTCAATGCAAAGCATGACGCTCAAGACAGGTTGGATCGATCCTGCTTGCTCACGCAGTCATACGCCCTCACAACTCATAGGGAACCCTGCAAGAAGAGAACCTTCTGGCAAGAATTGCCTGAACAGAAAGCTTACGAAGGCACTCCAAGCCCTTGTCTGGTTACACACTCTCTCTACAAACTGCAGGCAGCTCGCAAGTGAATGCTCAGCATTGTTCCATGGCCAAACCAAACTCAAAATCAGGAGCAAGATCGGATCCTTCGCCAGCGAAGTCGCCTTGCCAAGTTAGCACATTGCTTGCACATGGTTCAATTGGATAGGCCAAATAATTTGTATTATAAATACATGGGATATTGGGTAAGCCCCTCTTCTCGTCCTCTCCAAATGAAGAACAAACTTCTAGTAGTGACTTTAACCGTCTCCGTTGCCCATGCAGAGGTAGCAATGGTTGCCTGTACTGAAGCCCAGTGGCCCAGTGGCCATGATTTTGCGAAGGGGCGCCCTTTTGCGTCGGCCGATGCTGGGAATTCCCCGGGCCGAATACCGCCTACCATGTAGCTACATGCTAGTAGGTGGAAGAAGCTGCAGGTAAAACAAAACAAAAACAAAACCGACTATACCTCTGAAACAAAACGAGCCTAGAGGTAAAACCCAAGCCACATGGGGGGAAAGCATCATGGTTACCTATACTTCAAGGGGCTTATTCCTCATTTGTGTCCACCATTCAATTTTCAACAACAAGAAGTTTCCCCTGGGTTTCCTGAGGTTTTCTGAGAAGATCCCTGGAAAGAATGGACATCCGGGCTGTCCGTTTTCTGATCCCCCGCTGAAAAACTTGTGAATAACTTTTAGTGGGTTCAATGGAAATCCTTAACACTAAAAGGCCAAAAAGCTGAGGAACCGGATGGCTGGGAACCACCAAGAAGTGGAAGCCACCCCGATAATTTCTGCTTTTCGCTCCTGGAAGTGGAGCGGCGTCTCGCTGGCCACGTCCGCCAGCATCACGGACTGGATGGCTAAGGAGCAGAAAGCGAATCGCAGTTTGTGGGTCCGCTCCGAAAATCCCAGCTGCTTCAACCCAAAAGTTGAATCAAAGTCCGAAGATCCTACCAAATAGCAATAAAGTTGGAATCACGGCCCTCTTTCCAACCAAGTGGATTCCTTTTGGTGCTTCCCCCAAAGAAAAGCATTGTTCCAAAACCCTCCCATCGTCAGCTTCCATCATTGGAGGGAGGGCAACTTGCTCATGTGAACCTTTTTGCTGCTCCCGCTGAGATTTCCGCGGGCGACTTGGGTCCCTGAGTTGCAATGCTACCGAGCTGAACCAGCCTACGAGTGGTGCCTTATCCCACAAGCTTCATGCCCGAGGCTGTTGATGCCTCACTGAGAACCAACAACTTTAAGAGGGCGACGGGCGGGGGGAAGTGTGTTGAATAGAGGGTCCGCATGCATTCGCCGCATCAGCACCCCTCTCCATTCTGAGAATATGCACAACTACAACGTCTTTACCTACCTCAGCTTGCCCCCCAAACAAACATCATAATATGATTGATCCTGTCCCATATTTGGTAATCCTTCAGCTGGAAACTAGTTTGAACAGAGATCCCAGGGGATGGTGGAGTGGAGGGGGTCCTCGATTTATCTGGCTTGAGTTGAGTGGCCAGCCTTTAAACTGTTTGGGCCTTGACTGCCTGTCTGGTCGCATTTCCCAGTTTGGTCCCCCCGGTTTGGTCCCGTCTCAAACCGGTTTGAACATGAAGCCGGACTTGGTACGGCTACAAAATCCAGGGGAAACGAAGCCTAAGTTGGCATTTGTCTGGTGGCGACTCATTGCAGCCAAAGGACCCCACATAGCTGAACGGGGAGGGTCTGGCAATCTACCCAGTTCCAGTTTTCTTGTCAGAAAATGACACCAAGGGAATTCCAGGTCTGGGTCTTCCGAGCAAACTAATGTATGCTGCTTCAATGGACATCTAAGAATCCAGCCCCAGCAAAAGAATTCAGGCCATCTGCCCAAACCCTTCATTTTGATCTCACTTCCTGAGTGGATTGGCCAAACTTTGCCACAAAAATGGACCTCCCAACAAAGTTTGCAGTCCATGAGCTCAGCGACTGAGTGATACGTTGGCCAACTTGCATAATTTATCCTGGCTGTCTATGAATCCAAGCGGCGTCGACCAAAAAAAACCCTCGGGCCATAAGCCATGGCATTGCCAACGCCTGGTTTCAAGACTCTGAATCTGAAGATTAACGGAAGCAACCCAAAGGTGGTCCGATTCCCAAGAGGGTCTTGGGGTTCCATGTTCATCTGAGTCATAATCAAAACCTGGTCCAATGGTCTACACAGAATCATGTAAAGAACTAAGAAGGCGGATATCCGCACCCATTTATGGCTGGGATGTGTCCCTTACGAACGTTCATCCACCCGTTCTGATTGGGGCTCATCTGAGCACTGGGTCAAAATCCCGGCTACCCCCAGTGAACATCCCAATCCCCACTACTGTTCACAGCCTTCTGGCTCAGAGTCCAGAAATCGGATCGTGGCCTGCTGGCCCGCCATCATCTCCAGGATGGCCTGCAGGGAGCTTCTGGGAAAGTCCTGGGCGAAGCGCGCGAAAAACTGATGGGCGGAGCGCCTGAAAACGCCATGAGCTCTAAACAAAAGTTGGAGAAATGACACATCCCCTTATGGTTTCCTTGGGCTATGTTCGCACCCAGCCAGCCACCCTTTCTTTCCAGATCGAGTACCCAAAAGAAACGCCAAGACGAATTTGCAACCCAACAGAAACTGATACATCACTACCCTCCCCCCAACAGAGCAATCAAAAGAAAACAGGTGTTTCTTACAAAAAACACACATGGAACCCAATATATAATCCCAAAGGGATTCCCTGAAAGGAAGTTCGCCGATAGCAGCCGGCACCCTAACTGAAGCCTCGAAGCACTTCGATCTGCCACAGTTTGCTAGTCTTTGGCTTCAAGGGAATGGTCCTAATCCTTCCAGGCAATCAAGTTTCAAGTCATCTTGGGAAGGTGCCCCAACCATGCATTTCCCTTGAAAGTGGCAAACTTGGGGCATATAGGGAGTATGCAAGGGGATATATTTGGGGCATGTGTCCCAGGGGAACGGAACTATTCCCTAAGGTTCTGCGCAAAGGCGTCGAGGCTTGTGTTGCACGAACTCACAAAGCAAACAGCACATTCCAATTTGCTCGAAGGATCCGAGGATCCAATCTCAGTAAACAAGACAATAACCAGCCTAAAATAAGGGTTCTCTATGAAACGAAGCTTACCGCTGAAATTGGTCGCACAACTCTCCTTGCAAGGTCGCTACAATTTGTTCAGATAAATGACAGTCTTGAACAAGGGAAGGGCCTTCGCCTCATGGCTCCACGTTTACATATATCCACAATACTGTATATGCGTGTGTAAGTTTGCCTTAGGTACGACACAGATTTTGGGAGCCCACATATGCACATATGAGACAATATCCCGATGGATGTCCGCATGGAAACAAGGGCACCCTTTCCTTGGTATCAAAGGGAAGCCCTCTCAAGAACAAGGGGAAACAAGGGGTGCACCTGAAGGTCTGGATTGAGATTGCACCAATCCTGGGAAAAGCCCTCCATTGCGCATCACTCCGCGTGTACAGCGTCGCCACGGCGCTTTCCGCTAAAGCACGTCCCTCACCGCGTACCCGTAAGCATCCCTTCAAAAAAAGTCTAAAAACTTTGATCCGAGGAGGTCTGGGATGTGGTTTGGGATTCTGAAAGCTTTTCCGAAAGGATTCTGAAAGCCTTTCTGGAGGAAAAGTAAAAAGATGGCCCTAAGGATTTTGTAGAAGCAGCTGGCTCGAGAAGGAGCAAAATTGACGACTTGTCTGTGTCGCTCGGTACATGTGGTGATCACAAGACGTGATCTTGAGCCACCCAGTCCTCTCAGTCTCCAAAGTGCATGAAGTTTAATTGGGGGGACCTTTTGGTGGACATCGTTTAAGCATTTATGTCCAGCAACACGATTTGAGGGTGCATCCCCTTCAAACTGTGTAGTCATATAGGGTATGTCTCAAAATAGGACCCCACAAATGTTACTTGTTCAGGTTCCGTTAAATCAAACGCAAAGGGGTATACCTGGAGCCTCACAAAAAGCCGAAGACCCCAAATCCCGCGGCCCCGTCCTCGTGCACCCGCAGCAGGTGAATGAGCTCAGGCTGCTTGTAGCATGCCTGGCAGTGTCAAACCAGGCCTCTGGGTCTGATGGAAAATAATGGGCGTTTAATATGGCTGAGATGGTTATTATACCCCAAACCACCGGGACCCAGGGAAGGAGCAAGTATATGCCACTCTTTAGTGGTTGTCATCCCAAACCTCCATGTATACAATATTTACTGACCGTACCCACATTTAACCTACACATGATGGTCAAAAGTTGGCATATACCTACATGGATTGTGTGGGCATGGGCCGGCCAAAGGCAGACTCCCCCAAAACGTGTCCCACAATTCCTACTAGGCCCTTAGCCCTATTAGGCCCCTTTGAATGCTATGAGGCCAGTTTGAATCAAGACCAGTCAGAATGGTTCAATAAGCTTCACGACCCTGATATTGATCTCGGTCTTGGCCGGGGTAACTCCTTAGTGATGATGTCACTTGCGGTTTCATAAGTATCCGGCGCAATCATTGGAGCAGCACATGTGTGCCCCACTACACAAGCTGCAAGTGCACGACTAACGACTAAGGGCCGAATCGGAGCTTCGGAGACGACACACACTTTCAGAATGCGGAAAAAACAACATCTCAGCTTCCCTACAAGTGCCCATGCCCCACGAATTGCCTCTCTTCTTTCTCCTCACTTGGTTGCTTGTGCCGTGGCGGGGTTACTTCTGGGAAACAAATGAAACACATCAGACTGGACAATCCCAAGTCGTACTGCCCGCTCTTCAGTCAAATTCTGAAGTACTCCACACAATTTGGCGCAGTCAGTAGAGCCACAACTCGAGTCTGAGTTGCCGTATGATCATAGGCATTCGGAGCCAATGGCAGTTTGAAGGAAAAATGCATTTGGCAACCCCTGAACAACTTACCCTCCCACCTATTCACATGAATCCTGACATTCGGGTCCCGGTCCCTCAAAAAAAAATGGTCCAAACCATAGCCCCCTGAACCTACATCGAACGGTTCCATGTGAATCGATGGCAGGGAATCTGAAATGGACGCTTTTTCAGCGCCTCTAGGTCCTCCAGTAGAGAGGTTAGAATAAGAGTACCAACTTCTTTCTGTAGTCTATTTCAGTAGGTTAACCTTCCCAACCAAAAAAGAAACGGTAAAAGTTGGCACCGATCGCTGGGGGACCCAAGGGCCTTCCAACCCGCACCGCGCCGACGCCGACGCGGACGCCGACGCCGCCTCCCGCACCCCGGCGAAGAAGCGGTCCGGCTCGCTGCAGAACTCCGCCATGGCCCGCTCCTCGGAGCTGAGCTCAGCACCAGCAAGGGTCATTCCCGACTGAGCACCAGCAAGCCAACAAATGGGTTGTTTTCCTTTTGGTGTCCATTTTAAACCATCCGAAAGGTTTTCCCCAAAAAAAAGCACACACAATCCCTGAAAACGCTAACTTCCTTCTAGGAAACCAATTGAAAAGCCAACAGGGTCTGGTTTGTTTTTTCGTCTGGGTTTGCCGCAACCCCCCACAATCGTTTTGCTCGATTTCCCCAACACTTCCGAGATGCCTCAACCCTTCAAACAAACACCTTCCCCAAAACCTCCAAACATTTCGGAGATCCAGGGTTGCTCGTTCAAGATTCTGAAAATACAAGAAGCCTGGGAAGGAATATGCGTCATTTTTACCCGCGCCTTTTGGATTAAACGTCACCAGTTGTCGTTTCTGGGATCCTACCTGAAACATCACCGGCTGAGATCCCCTCTTACAAAGCACTGGCAGCTGTTGCTGAATATCTCCCTTTCCATTTTTTGACTAAGGTAGACTTAAACCCGGCGGTGCATTCCGCAAGAACCGATTTCTAGGTTGATACGTCTACCTTGGAGTCAAACCAGCTCCTGATTTGGGCAATGTTGGCTCAGGGATGCTCCGGTCCCGTCCCCAGTGGCTCGGGAAGCAATCCGATCATCGCACACACCGAATCTCCAGGGCCACGGCGGTGGCGAAGACGCAATATCTCCCTGCGTACCTGCAATCGAAACAACGAAACAAACTAAATGAATTCATTCACCCTGGGGTTCAACCCCCACTAAAAGAATGGTTGACCCAATTTTGGTGACAATCCTTGGGTAAATACTGGTGGCTATATGAACCCCAGTGATTTTTTAAAGGTGGGTTAAGTCCCGGAAAAATAATATCCTGTTCATCAATATGGGTGTGTCCCTGGCTTTAGTGGTTGGAATCAGCCACTTTTGAAGGAAACACGCCCATATTGACAAGCAGGGGGTTTATTAATATGGGGTCAACATTGATTCAAGGGCTAGCAATAGCTTTTAAGAATAACCAACTAACCTATAGGACGTGGGCCAAGTTCCGCGAGCTTCACTTCATGCTACGAAGCCGACCCCGATGGCTAGGTGGATTTCAAGCCTCGAATGCGGTCCGGATAGAAGGACGCCACGAACGAAAAGCATAAGTCTAACAAATCGGATCATTCTGCTGCAGATTACCATGGAAGGAAAAAAGAAACGAACACCTGAGTTGTAGCGGAAACGTGCCATCGTGCCATGTTTGTGTACGTGTGTGTAAGTACTGGTTCGTGAAAGTATACAAACAATCAACAGTTTGTCCTCCCTCCCTCAAACTGACGTGGAATCCGACAAAAGGTTCCTTTAACAGGAACAGATCTTTTGATGGGGGCTCCCTCGGAGTCTATGTGTTTGAGGGTGCGCGTAAGTAACAACCACTTGCATGAACACTTCACGCCTACATCCAAAAAAAGAGTCAGCGCTAAAAGCTTAAGTCATACCACTCTTGTCCTTAGCCCTGTGGCTGTATGCGTCTGAAATGAAAAAAACAGTACCCAAATTCACCATACAAAGCTGCAAAGCTATGAAACGGAGAAAGGCAAGTGAACTGGCCGCCAGGAAAAAACGTTGTTTGATATGTGCCACTCTGCAATGTCACCAAGATGCTGCTCGGTCCCAACATGCAGCTGATCAATCCAAACGAAGCTATATGTGATTGACAATACGTCCTGCTTACCTGCAAGAAACCAACACATTGTGTTGTTCCTTTGACATGTGAATGTGTTTGGGCGCATGGCTATGTGCTGTTGATTGAAGGCGGTGGGCAACAACTTGCCCAAACTACGAGCGAGATTGTGCTCCAAACTCCTCCAGCAGTACTCCAAGGCTGGCTACAAGGAAACTACAACAGGCAAGCCAACCATTTAGCGCAGTCCCCAATTTCAGGAGTCAACCACATGCTCCGATACCGCCCCCAGTCTCGTGCAAGGCCCCTTTTCCCCAGTCACAACCACCCCCTGCCGCGCCGAAGCACCCGAAGACCTCCCAAACCCAGCGCCTCACCACGCCCAGCGCCGGATTCCCCGGCACCTCAGTGCGACGCTTTGGCCGTGGGATCCGCCCCCGAAATCAATGGGATTCCCTGCCCTATGGCTTTGTCGCTTTGGGGCTTCTCTGATTCTGTTCGCGGCACAGTGGCAGCCACCAAAGCCATAAGTCTCTCCAAGTCTGCTTGAAATGCGAACACCAACACGGCTCACTCCGCAAAACGACCATGGATCCCAAAAGCAAGGGCCGCCGAAAAGATCCAAGGCGGATTCCTTGGCGCTTGGGGCTCCATGTTCATCCCGGTCCGCGGGGCTCCCGTGAAAAACCGATGGGTCTGCCGCCCTCCAACTGCACCGGTTATCAAACAAACCTTGTGGGCTCCGTGCTCCCTGCAACAAATAACATGTAACCCGAAGGAGTTGTGTAACAAGCAACACACAAACAGCAAAATCAAGGTCCGTTTCGTTTGACAGCTCCTGCTTCAGGTAGTGTTTCAGGCGCGCTTTCCTACGTGCAATAGGTCCTTTGGTTGATGCTCAGCCCCAAGATGCAAACAATCAACCGCCACACCTGGATCCTGCATGCCTAGCTGCGCTCTTCTGCGTCTGAACACAGCAGCTGTCTCAACCGGTGAGGCTGAGACCACACACTCAGAATGGCAGCAGCGGGCGGCTGCCCTTTGAAGTACTCACTTGCTTCTTGCCCAAGACCTGATAAAGAGATTCAAATACGGGCCACGCTTGAAATTCCAAAAGGTGACAAGGTCAACTTTGGACAAATTAAATAAGATTGATGTCACGAATGGATCTGATTCCACGGATCTGATGTCCGTGAATGTTTCGCGAGGATCTGATTCCACGAAATCGCTGGGGCATTCCCCATCCGCTCCTCGCCTCCTTTGAGCCTGTTGCTTGCAACTGGGGGAGGCCACTGGCTGCACCGAGCCCCTGCCCACTGAAGCAGTGCAGCCAGCAAAACCAACTCAAATATGACGGAGACTGGGATGCTACACGTCCAGATCAAAAGGTGCATTGGATCAATCAAGAACTACTTCACGCCACTCCTCGCCGGGTAGCGAATCGTTGCCCACAAATCGAAAGAGCCAATTGCTTGTTCTGTGCTGACGTCCGCAACACACTTTCGAGATTGAGCGGGCGTCGAGCCCAGTACAGACTGCAGCATCTTGAATTGACTCAAAGGGTATCCAGATGGCTGTGCCAATTTCACAAGCCAAAACCGGCTTGCGCTTGTTTGGTTTTGCCAACTTGCGATTGGCTCGAAAGTGTGCATGCTGCACATTTTGCGCTGGTGTCACGTACTCTAAATTCCTCAGATGATTGTTTGCACAGTTGCCGTCCTTATGGTTGACATGCAGGTCTGGTGTGCTTTGCTGTCCTAGGAAGGTCGCGGCAACCATTCGGTGAACGGACAAACTTCTGAACACGCCCTCAGCCCGCCTGCGAAATTGAATCACGAAATATCCTGACTTGCTGTGCGTCCCATATGTGATGCGCCCGGAAATCGTCTGCACTCGACCGTGGGTGCTCACCATCCAGTTTGAAAGAACCTCCGTCATGCCAGGATACCTGGCCTCCAGCCAAAACTCCCCACAAAGCCATTTGGCCTCAACTTTCTGGAATTCATAGCCGCCCGCATGTGTTTGCAGTCCTCTGCAGCATTTGCTGACTTGTGCCGGGTCAAGCCCAAGAGCATGTGCGGCCTCAGATTGGAAAGAAAACAAGGCCCACGGGCCAATTCCAACGGGCCTGCATCGGATTGGAACAGAGCACCTGGGGCTGCTCCGAGCGCCTGTTGCCCATGAGTGTAGAGCGTTTTGAGATGGGGTGGCATATTCCAAATTGTTGGCCTGGTTGTTTGCTCTGTCACTGTCCATATGGTTCACATGCGTATGCGCAGCAGTCGGCGGCAGTCCATGAAAAGCCCTCGCCACCAAGCGATGCACGGCGTAGGTTGTCCCTTGAATGGACACCTGCTTGTAGCCGTCCCGCCGCGTGCTTCCATAGTGTGTAACACCGCTGAAGGTCTTCACCCGGCCAAGGGAACTCACCTCCCAAGTTCTGGTTCGCGCTTCAGATTGGAACCTAAATTGACGTCCCCACCACAGGGAAGAAGCTGGTGGCAATGCAAAGGGCTGAAGCCGCCCATGTGCCAAGCAAGGCCAAGACCGCATGAGGCGCCCCAACTTTGGACCACAGCCTGGAGCCTCGCACACAGCTCTGGCCAAACTGGCCGCCTCAAAACGTACGTTGGAACAGCCACACCCAAACTCAGATGCCCAGTGGCCATGGAAAAAACGGGCATCCTTTTTTGGTTGGTTGACTTTTTACAGGGGAACCCTTCCCACAAAAAGGAAGAACGGGCACCACTGGGCAACTGGGCAAAAGTCCTGCTTGTGAAAACTAGCCGGCCAAGCCCTTGTTTGAGCACGGCAACTGCTGCACAAAAGTACAACCCACTAGGCGCCCCTCATCATTACTTGTCCAATCTTCCTAGAGGCCATGGGCTCCAAACTCCATTGGCGTGCAAGGGAAACCAATGGAAGATGGAGCGAAACATGAAATTCAACAGCCACCGGCTAAACATTTCATCAAGTGACCGTACACATTGAAAAGGATCGCACAGAACAAAGCCAAAAGAACAGGGCAGGGTTCAAGGCCCTCATATTTGCTCATAGGGAGAAGAAACAACCCAAACAACACAGCTATAGACCGGCCCCATCTTCCCCCGCGTTGCCGGCGCTGGGGCACAGGGCTAGGAGCCCTTTGCGGGACACCAGGGTCTGGACGCAAAACCTGCAGCTGACACGAGGTTCTTTAATGTCCCCGTGCAACACATCATCCCTACTAAGGGAGACTCACCTCAAACAAGCCAAACAGGTGATGTTTCAAACCAACCCAAAGGCATACATATATTGTATATACCATACATATATCTATGTATGTATATATGTATATAGGGACTCAAGTGAAAGCGGCATCTTGCTCCTCCACAGATTAACATAAGCCACCAGAAACACCTCGAGAGGAATCTCCTTTCCAGGACCCCATTCCCAAACCCCGAGCCAACGGAGGAGGCAAAGGAGGACCCCACTTTCCCCATGAGTTGACCAACGTTGATCCATGTGGGTGGCAAATAAAGAAAGGGCTCAAAACGAATATTTGAGGCGGCCGAATAGAGAAAACCTGTAATACGGTTTGGGGTCAAACGTGCACCCCCCAAGAGAACTGCTTCGTATTGGTTTAGTATTGAGGTTTGTGTTTTATTGCTTTGTGTCACAAGGAGTAAGTTTGTGGGGAGAAGGGCAGGGTCGGTGCAGATTTATGGGAAAGCGCCGCTTTTTTGTTGTTTGTGTGAGAGGAACTTTCTTGTATCAAGCAATATGTTTGGGACACATATTGTATGTGGCACCCTGGTATCAATGGGGCACCCGCATCACCACAAGTAATATATTCAGAAGACAACCATTTCTGCCACCTGGACACGCGGGAACCTGATCTGCTGGTTCGATTCCTCAATGTTTAACTTTTTTGACTTTGATACCCAAAGATAGTCCAAATATACCTGGACAAGCAGACAAGCAATCGAAAAAGGAAGATCGCCATTCTACGGGGAAATCGACCAATGTGAAGACAATGGTTTTTGCTGGAAGCCGAAAGGAGACCCAGCCTTTTTGCTTGGAAACCGAAGAGACAGCGTTCCAACTTTTGGCGGTTTCCAAGATTTCCATCGGGGCAGTGACCCCAATTGGAGTTTGATTGGAACGCAGCTGCATCTTAAAGGAAATCCAGCAACCAAAGTTGCATCAGCAATTCAGCGACGAACTTCTGCGATACCACAGAGTCTCGCAACTGGTTCGTTGCCGGGCGCTTTGTTCTGTGGTGTTTCCACCGTGCTTGTCTTTCGTTTGCTTAACTTCTGAGAACATCGATTTATTTTACTTGAAAGTCTCAGCAGCTTGTCTCGACATCTTCCGAAGCACTGGGTTCTCGATACTGCTCCTACCATCATCCTGCCAAGAGGAAACTCACCAAACATCAGCCAAACAGGTGATGAAAAAAACAACACCCAAAGAGGAAGTCCAGGTGTTTCTCAAGATTAGGGACTCCCCCATCCAACTGGTTCATGCTTTTGGGTTTCCTTTTCAAACCATACCACAAGGGGTCCATAGATGTCAACAAGCACCCATATGGGTGTGAAATTTAATCGGGGACCCGCAAGCAACATTTGGGTGGGGATTCATGTCCACCACTTTTGAGGTGGTTCCAACTCTGAAAAAACATCACCATATCTGGCCTCTCCTCAGATCCCCTTCTAAAAGTTCAACTTTTCGTGGCTTGAATGGGTTAACCGCCACCAAGCCAAAAAAAAAACATCCAAAAATCCCGAGGGGACCGGCCGGGGGCCGCCCAGTTTTGAGGCGGTGCCCGTTTCTTGACCACCTCCAACTCCGCTTTTTCGGCGTGGCCAAATCGAAACTCCCGGGCCGGGCGGCCGGGCCCTTGGAAGTCCAGGGCCAGGTTCAGGAAGCCCTCGTAGTTCTCCACCTGCAAAAGGACCGTTTTGTGAAGCCGAGGTCAGCCGAGGTCACCCGCCGAAAACCGCCCCCTCCCAAAAACACCGGGCGATCCGAAACATGAACCTCCTTGAAGTCGCCAGGGTCACCAGAACCCCCGAAAAATGGGGGGGGGGGGGGGCGGGACACACCAAACACGTCGCCTGGAGGTGTATGTTGAGGGGGGGCGGGGGCAGGGGGTAGTGTGTTTTTTGGGGAAACACACCCGATTGAAGGCAAACATTGAACGAAACTAGAGGTGAACATGCTGGGGCATAGTCCTGGAAATCAAAGGTTGGAGTTTGGGAAACGGGGGAACAGAAACAAAGAGGCTGCTGGTCCTTCGACAGGAGAATTGCCCAAAGGGATTATGTCGGTAATTGAACTGTGTGCCATTCGCTGTTGGCTTTACTGAACCGCTTGTCCCTCACAAAGGTTTCAGGTTTTGATCGCCCCATTTGTCAGGAGAATCTTCCCGAAGGGTTATCCTTTGGCTCACTTGCCCAAACCCAACCTTTGTGACCGCTTTTCCGTGCTTGCGTGGCCAGGGTCGCAAAAGGCCAACACCTTGACAAGCGACTGCTTCAGAAAGCTGCGAGAATCACCAGGGAGAGCCGGCGGGCAATAGCTGGGCTTAAGGACAGATGGGGACAGAAACTCCTTTGGGGTTAGAAAAAGTCTGGAACCAAACTACAAGAAATTGGAGAAAGCACTTGAGGAAGCCAAAGGGAGAACACGCGGCAAAGAGCTTGGGGAGAGTAAGCCACTGACGTCATGGTGGGGTTGGATGAGACTTGGAACAAAGCAGGGAACAAACGGTTGGGGACGGCTGCGCTGCGCAACAGCAAATCGAACCCCCGAAGAACAAGCATGTCAGAAGTTGCTGTTGAGCTATTGACTAAAAACCAAGCATTCCGAAACACTCATTGCAACCGATGGCCCAAAAACAACAGCGGACACACACACACACACACATTCAAACACCCATTAAAAACGAAGACACCCCACTCATTCGAACCCAGCGGGGCGCACCGTGAGCCTAACCGCGGTGGAAGGGTCCTGCGCTACCAGGGGAGGGGGGGGGTTGCTGGACCGTGTGATTTGACTTCCCATTCCCAATGGGGGAAAGACCTCCAAACGCTTAAGAGCTGTCTCGTTATTTCTCACGCAAACACAGGCTCACCAGGGGACCCGGGTCATTAGGTCCCAAACCCTCTTCAATGATTGATCCTTACAAACGCCCCCCCCCCCCAACACTCTTAAAGGGTAAGCGATCAGACAAGTGTGGCTAAAGTATCTCCCAGAAAGGCTAGACTATGTACACGCCAACATCACACAAGGATTGTGCAAATCATTCCAGTATATACAAAACCGTGGTCCTTATACGTGTTTGTACAAGTTTCCCGTCAGACTAGATTGCCTGCAGTTTCAACCATGGTCCTCGCAACACACTGGATCCTGTGGTGAGTGATTGAAACGGACAGGTGAAACTGAGCCTTTGGAGGGATACCCCCAATTTTGACCCGTTGCCATACCACTTAGATGGCATCATCCTTTTCTTTGCAGCTGTGAGCAGGGGACAGAATAGTTACTTCTTGCCAAACAAAATCATGAGGACTGATGCTTGCGGGTACTTTGGTCATCCTCCCAATGTCTTCCCTAAACCAACAGTAGGCTATCAATACAGTTGACAGCGAGTGAAAAAAACAACGACTTGAGCCACAGCTTGGGTGGTTTCTCGGACAACTTGAACACATGCAGGTGCAACGTGCCCTTACCACTACTGGTGAACTCCAATCATTCAAGAACCAAAAAAGAAAAGGTTCCCTTACAAAAAAACAAATAGCTTTCATCCTGCGGCGGTTGCAAGCCCCTTTTTGTGAGCTTGCTATGTGTTGTTCAGTTGGCGTGCAACCTTGCCGTTGCACTAAAAAAGGCACACCAGTGCAACGGCTCTTCAACCTCATGATCGAAACCATGGAACCTGATCTTGGATCGCAACATACGATGCAACCCCCCCCCTCAAACTGTATAACGTGCCCAACGCTATCGATTTGAAGCCGAGATTCGCTCCATCGATTCTGAATTCGCAACCAAAAAAGCTAAACTATATAGGGAACACAAAAACTGATCCGCAAAACCCTATTTTCTACAAAACAAAACACGAGGGACCGCACAACCGATCGCAAGCCATCGCACGGCTCTGGAGGCGTCTCTGTGTCTCTCCTGAGCCTCTGGGCCGGGGATGGAGTCCAGGTCCACCGGATCCTGGCGCGGTGGGCTCCACCAGTCACTGCCTGTGGACCTCCAAACAAGTAGATCAACCATGAGGGGCTCGGGGGTTCAGCGACCCCCCAAAAGAGAAGGGGACCCTTTTTGGGGAAGGACCCATCGTTTTAGTGGGGCAGTCACCTAAAGAAAAGGGGGAAAAGGATTGGTGCCACTGAACAACTGAGGAAATCAGTGGGGGGATTTCTGGGACAAAGCCGTTGGGCCAACTGAAGGAAGGGTTCAGCTTGTTTCAAGAGGATTTCTGGACTTGGAGATCCAGTTGTTGCTTCTACAAGTGGTCTAAATGGGTCCAAACCGGAATTGCTCAATGGACCTGGAAATGAAAGGTTTGCCTCCTGTGACCTTGATATGGAAAATCCAAACCCGAAACAACACCGGTTAAGGTCAAATCCATCCTCCATTCGCTTTGCCAACCATCCGAACCAAGTTGCCCAGGGGCCAAAGGAAGCGCCTCTCCACCGTTTTTGGGGTTAGACCAGTCGCCAGAAGAGGACTCAAACTTCCAGGGATATGCTGACCTGCGTAACCTTCATTTGCTTAAGCTCCCTGAAAACAAAAGGACGGGGTGCTCCCTGGGATGTAGTTTGTGTTTGTAGCATTTTTCATGTTAAAATCACGTCCCCGCCAACACCCGGTCTCAAAAAAACGGGTCCCTTAGGGAACATTTTAACAACATATTCTTAAGCACAGGGAAGGTGACCTCAAAATGGGCATGTGTCAGGGGGGGGGGGAATGGCTTGGGCTGTTCGGTTTGTTTTCCATGAAGCATCTCTCCAAAACTACCACTCACTTAGTTAATTGGCCAAACCAAGTCTATCTATTTGTTGTTTTCTACCCCCAAAATGGTCCAAACCACCCCAAACAAGTGTCTCCATGCATTGCTCCGAGTCCCGGAACTCAGGGACTGAGACCGGGCCCCACCAAGCACCCGCCACTCGCCGCCGGGTCCGGTCGGTCCGCTCGCCGGGTCGCTCCCGGCCTCCCGGTTCTCGTCCAGCAAGGGCTCGCCCTCCCGGCGGCCGCTCTTGCTGAGCAAGGCCTCACGCGCGACTCGACCAAATTTGGGGATAGGGGGAAGGGAAGGGGGGGGGGCCATGGACACTTCGAGTAGGCTTTGCAGCCAACCTGCTAAAAAACCAATACCTGAAAGGAGCTTGCAGTTGTTGTTTTTTTTTGGGGGGGGGGCCTAAAAAAAAGAAGTAAGCTTTTCGTTTGCATTTGAGCATGCTTTCTGGATGAACCCAAAAACCCATTAATGAAACCAGAAAGGGTGCGTTGGTTTCTTTTGGTCACTGGAGCTATTGGTTGAGAAAGCCCTTGAAATTGACACGGAACCTCGAAAACAGGGGGCCCAGTTCGTGAGAAAACAAGCAAACAATGTGTGTCGGGATTCCATGTAAAAACATGCCTTTTTATTTTCCCACGGGTTCCGAGCTCTCATCATATATTCTCCCACTGCGGGGATCAACCGATACTAGGAGTTCAATGGGTGTAGATTTGGGGAACTCACCGAAGCTAGGGGCACACAGCGGTCCCTTGTGGAAGACAAATACCAGACATGGGCACTACTGGGGGACCTAGCCTCAGGGCATGTGTCGTGTCCTGGGAAGCTCTTTTGGGTCCCCCGAGTTGAAGCGATCCTTGGGTTGACGTGAGAATCGGGCTCCACCGAACACACCGAACCATTCCCACCCCGGTCGATCCACTTTGGACAAGTGAGACAACGAACAACTAGCGTGATTACTTCACCATGATCAAAGTCGTGCCCCAAGTGAAGCTGAAAGGGAAACAACTCCAGGAACTCCGACTTTGATGGCCCCGAGAAACCGTTGACATAATGCAGAGCTTCCGGTGGCTGAGGAGTCCGATGGACAACATATACAGTGATAGATTCCCTTTGAAACCAGGGTAGAACAAGACATTGTCTGAAGCAAATGGAAGATATGGCCATGAATCTTATTAGGGAACCACCTCAAAAGTGATTGGTGCACATAAATCCCCACCTAAATCATGTCCACCAAAGGGTCCCTACTAGCTTGCCAGTTTCTGCGCCGCCTTGCCGCTCTGCGTGATGGCCGGGAAGTAGCGCTGCCGCAGCTCCTTCAGGACACCTCAGCGTGCTTTTTTTTATTGCTCCGAAGCCTTGGGGTTGACTCGCTCGGCGGAAGATGCCGGAACGCAAAGAACAAATCGCCCAAGCAATACTCGGTTGCTAACGCAAAGCCCTGCTAAAAGTGACTAACGTTTAGTGGTTTAATCCGGAAAACCCATTAGTTGGCAAAAAGTTAACGTCCTAACATCGAAGCAACATGCACGAAAGAATATACGTGGCATGGATTCATGTGTTGCTTTAATGTATCTATTTACTTGCTTGTATCTTTGCCTATTGGTTGGCTTCTTTAGCTGTTTTAGTATTGTTTAGGTATCTATGTGTACGTTGCGGTGAGAATGAAGCACTACGCACTGACCTTAAGCGGAAACGACTTGGCAACCAAGGGATTGGCATTAAAATCAAATGTGGTCAGTCGCCTCAAACAAAACAAAGAGGTTTGGCTGGCACTCACAACGAATAAGTCTCGACACTGGGTTTGGCTGAGCTTATGTGCTGACTCTCGACTGCAACATCGGCCGGTCGTCAGATTTGAGCAAGACACAAAAAAAGAGCGTCATGTTCGAGGACTAAAGCCCCACCGCCTCTGCAAAAACTAGGGCGACACCCCGGCAATTTTCTCCATCGCTCATCTGCGTGGTGAACACTCTTTAACCATCCTGGCTCTCTTTGTGGGATGCGTTCTCTTGGTGGTCTGAATTCCTGAAGGGTCAACTGACCATCAAGGCCAAGCCCCCTCCCATCACCTCTCACGGCTTTGCTGCACAACCGCCCCCCTTTCCACTCGGACAGTCGTATCTTTCCACCGGGGGTCTCAATCCTTATATCGCATCATATCATACAGTTCCAATCTGTCTATGACATTTCACATAATTTCCATCCCTATAGGGCATCATATCATATCAGTTGCAAACCACACCTCGTCAGTCGCGAACAGCCACCGAAGCCCCTCGCTCCAAAAACAACTCTCTGGGCGCCAGAGCTGTGGAGCTTGGTCCGGGCTTCCAAGAGCTGCACCTGCGGGGAGAGAAAGAAACTTCCGCTTGGTTGGCCTCCGCGTTTTTGAGGTTTTCCAGTCAAACTGTCCATTGGCTTTTCTTCTCTCAGAAGTCCTGTTGTTGACAATGGAAATATGTTTTTGTTTTTTTCCATTTGCTTCAGAAGTCCTGTCAGAAGTCCGGTTGTTGAGGGGAATCGATCACTCATGGAAATACGTTTTTCCCAAATTTGCTTCTTGCCCCCTGTTGGTTTTGGAGAGGGAATCTATCACTAGTGGAATTATGGAAAGGAATCTTGAAAGGAATATGTGTTTTCTTTTCCCCTGTTGCTTTTTAAGGGGGAATCTATCCGCATGGACATCTTATGTTTTGCTCTGAAGCAAATGGAGGCAAACCAACTCAAAAGGCTCCTCCAACCCAAAAGATGAAACATTGACACCGACCGCCCTCAGCTCAGATCGCCCGGCACCGCCTCTCTCCAGGCGGAGCGGTAGCACCGTGCCAGCGCGTCGAAGCGAGGATAGACCTGGAAGACGGCTGGGAACTAACCATGCTACCTCTGCGAAGCCCTGCTAACTTTTAGTGGCTTAATTCGGAAAACCCATTAGTTGGCAAAAAGTTAAAGTCCTAACGTCCAAGCAACATGCACCAAAGTAACTTTCAGCCAACCAACCACCCAACCAACCAACCAACCAACGAACCAACCAAGCAACCAACCAACCAACCAAGCAAGCAGCCAAGCAATCAAGCAACCAAGCAACCAAGCAACCAAGCCTCCCACTAGCCTACGTAGGAAGGTGCCTGGAAGAACCCCTTGTCAGGTGCCATATCAGTGGGAGCATAAAGTGAGTAGCAATCAGATAGCATCTGGAACCTCAACTGTGGCCGACCCATCAGACCTAGGGAGACTCATCTGAAATTGGCCAAACAGGTGATGATACGATGGACGAAATCCTGCACCACCTAAGAAACCCTAGAATGTTGATTCCCCTGTAAATACCAACCAACAATGGTGTCAACCATGGTTGCTTAGGTGGTGCCTCAGAGGATTTCGCAACCATCCACAGTAATAGTGCCCTTTGACCCTTTTTTGGGCGAGGGTTCCCCTACTAGACTACAGAACAAGAATCTGGTACCCTCTCAAATCTGGAGGACCTAGATTTCGTCCATCCACAGTACCAATGGGAAATATCGGGACTGTCCCCTACCCCCGGTGTCTTGCCTGCTCCTTGGGCACTGAGACGCGGCCGCCCACCAGGGCATCTAAGTCCATCAACTCCTGGGGTCAATGGGGTGTCAAAAGTGCTACAGGCCCCCAATCGAAGGGTGCCTCCTAAAATTGGAAACCTCATGCAACTCCAACAAATATATAATACGTTTCTTCCACCAAAAAAAAATGGCCCTCTGAAACGGTCCCATTCTTAATCCAACCGGCCCTTTGAGACGCCCAGAAAAGACGCCCTCCCTCCTCCTGCGGGCGCCGGGCCCCAAGCGAGCGCCCGCTTGCCCGCTCCTCCTTGAGCTGCGCCTGACCTTTGCGCAGCTTCTCGAGGCTCTGCGCCACGTCCTGGCGACGCTCAGCGCGGCCGGGCGCGTGGCGCTGTCGGATGGGGAATGAGGGGATGGGGGAGTCCATTAAGGGAAAGCATAGCGCCATAGGGGATGGTACAAAAAGGTTCAGTTGGGGCTCCCTGGATTTCTTGCTGGTGCGATAGGTAGGGAATGAGGCCATGAAGCTGGGGAGTCCCTTGAAGGAAACCATGCTGAGCTGTCCTCAGATCCCCCCCCTAAAGGTTTAAGTTTTAGTGGGCTAAATGGAAAACCCCATTAAGCACTACAAAGCTAAAAAGCTAAGGGGATTGGTGGAAGCCACCAAGCATAGGGGATGGTACAAAAAGGGTCATTCCATTCCCTCATTCCCTGCTGAGCACCAGTACAATGTGGGTGTGGTAAAAAATGGTTAGTCACCCCACAATGGCTTGCCCGATCGGTTAATGGAAACAAGGACTGATTTCATTGTTTGTTCCAATTCCTGGTGGCATAATTTTCACCCATATCCATTTTCACGATCTCCAAATTGTGAAGGGGGGACCCGCAAAATCCGGGTGGTGGCTTCTCTGCGAAAACCACCCATAACAGGATGCCCTCATAACACCAACAAAAGACACATGCACTCGTTTCCCCTTTGAACTTCACCCCAACCAGGGAAGTTTTGTTAAAGGCTTCAAGAGTGATGCTTCCAACCACCAAAAGGTTGTTTTGTTTAAGGACAACAATGGGTTGGAGGGCCGTGTGGTCCGTCAACCCTTCTATTTGTCCATCAGCTACTGGATACAAGACGCTCGGAGTCTATCGGATTTGTCGAGCCCGGGGAAAATAGGCCAATGTTGCGCACATGTCTGAAGAGAACCCCATGATACTGTGGATGGACGAAATCTTGCACCACTTTGAGAGCATGGGAAACCATTGTTTGCTGGTATTTACAGGGGAACCATTATTGCAGGGTTTCTTTGGTGGTGCAGGATTTCGTCCATCAACAGTATGGTGGTGCACATGCATTGCCCTGCGATATGGGCATCCTGGTCCACATCAAGGCAAACACATCGTCTCAAGATCGATGGCAACTTGCGCCAGCTGCTCAGATGCTCAGTGGCCATTGGGAAAAAAGGGGCATCCTTTGTTAGCTAGTTGAGTCTAAAGGGGAACCCTTCCCAACAAAAAGGAAAAGGGTGCCACTGGGCAACCGGGGCGGTTCAGCGGTTAACGTGCACAATCTCAATGCTTTTGCGAGTACTGGTATTTTCCCGTCAGACCAGCTTAGGCACCCTCAAAATGGGACACTGGATCACTGAGCAATTCAGCATCTCAGGTGGGTAACACCAAGCCTGTCCAGCACAAACCAGTAGATAAAGGCAGCTGATTCTTGGCACCAAAGACCTATGTCCAAGAGCAAAGGGATTGCCGACCATGTGCTCAGAAACTTTAACCAGCCGCGGGCAAATGAAGCAAGCCCACATGTACCTGTTAACTTGTCTGTGTCTGTCTGTGTCCGTCTGTGCTTGTCTCTGTCTGCCTCTCAGTCTTTAAATCAACCCCAAAAGCAAAAGTGGTATCACCCAAAACCCACACCCATTTAGAGGGTGCCATTGAACCACTGCAGATTGCTTCCGCAGGTGTTTGAACGTCCCGTTGAGCAGGACTCGCCCGCACCATTATTACATGTGCAACCGTATTCAGCTTTGTGATCTCTTTTGGGTATGTGGCAAAACATGGGGCCTCCAAAAATGGGTGGGTGTCCCTTTAAGTCAGGGTTTAACAAAACGTATCCTGAACCCCCCCCCCCACGTGAAGGTGTACCTTTTTTGAGGGAACCCTTTGGGGGGTGGTTTCAAATCAGGTTTCAGGGTCTCTCCAAAATTGCCGCCCACCTCAGGTAGCTCTCTGCGAGGATCCCCAAAGCTGAGCGAGCCTCCTGGAGGTTCAAGAGGTAGCACAAGTACCTGGTAACACACCAACTAGTTAGTTCGATCGGCAATTCGGGTCCCTGAGGAATGACACCTGAGACTTTAAGTCGACACCCGCAAGAGCAACTCTCTCGCATTCAGGTGCTGATGCAACCCACATTTCGCACACGAGCAATGGCGCGCCAACTCCAGTCACAGGAACAACAAGAAGTACACCCACCAACTTAGTTCCCCAGTGGCCAAGGGCCAAAAAGGAAACTGTCTTTGTTGGTTGCTTTTGTGGGGAACCTCTCTGACAAAAGGCACAAGGGCACCACCGGAGGTCTGGAAAAAACAGCATCACATGAGCAACGGGTACAAATTGACCGGGTTTTCGCCTGCTTGCTTGGGAGCTGGGAGTATGGGTTGTGCCCCTTCTCATTCTCCTGAGACGAAAAGGTGCGCGATCAAACTTCCCAAAGCACTGGATCTGCGATTAGTGAGTGAACCACTTCATTTGAATTGAAACGATACTCAACACGAAGGGCGCGTAAAGTCTTTGGGTCGATGATTGGAGGGCTTGCCTCCTCGCCATTGCAAACGCTAGGTCCATGATCCATGATCCGCCCCGAAGTTGAAAAGCATCAAGAACATCGGTCAAACACAATAGAACCACCCACTGGTGAGGGGCCCCATCAAAACACATCACACGCAAGTGGGTTGTGGTACGTGGCAATCATGCGGCGCACTGCCGGTGGTACAGCAAGTCGCATTGCCACCGCTGGACCTGCGGAACTTGCACGCAATTCGCCCCAATGGCTGCTGATTGGAGAAGTGTCAGAGCAGAGGGTTATAGAATTGGGTATGAGGGTTCCTCCTCTTGGTGTGGTAAAAGGTAATTAATCACACTCAAAGCAACGGATTTGAAGGGACCCAACTCGTGCTGGCAACACTCCATCCGTGTCTACGCATGTTAGCTGCATGGGGAAACACAAATCAGCTCCCAGAACTTAACGTGGATTTCTAGGCGACGCGCACATGCGCTCCATTCTCCTGGACTCCTCCCAGAGAGGGTTTTGTTGCATGTTGCATTCAGGCACCCAGGTACAGTTCCAGTTCAAAAGTTCAGGAAGTCAGGGACAACCCATCGTCTGTCCAAAAGGCACTGGAAACCAATGATCAATCATTGGAGTGGGCTTGCCTAGCGTAGCAAGGAAACAAGCCCCTGCAAAACAACGGCTTGGTTTTTGAAAGCTTGAAGCCAATGCAGATCGAACAATGGGTGGTGGATTGCAGCTTCTGCCAGGAGTGCGGCAAAAGCAGGCCTTAGCCATGTTTAGGGAGGAGGCAATTACCAGAATCTGCGAAATTTACAATAATCCCTAAGCACAGGACATACATAGTGAGCTCGTTTTACCCCGCTCGGCGAGCAGTACTGGACCTACATTGGACCAACATCTAAGTGAGCTCGTTTTACCCCGCTCGATAAACTAAAATGCGGGCACTGGGGTGGGGGTGGCCCGGCCTCCTTCTCATCGATGGACTCCGTCTTGCTACGCATGCTGTAGGTCTCAGCACGCAGCGCTTTGGGCAAAGAGGGGACTGGGCAAGTGTGCCATGGGGGTAGACTCGGGGCTGTTTCCTAAGGGTTTCCCCATGAACTTGAAGCTGATTTTCATTTAGGATCCTTGCTTATGAACCTGAACCAATTTGGAAAGCTGATGTTCATTTAGGCTCCTTGGTTTCAGCCACCAACATTGTTTCACCGAGAACGACCCTGAAACCCAACTGTTCCGGTGGGGCATCCCCCTTTGCTTCTGCCATGGGCTGAACAAATGGTCACCCCTTTTGGGGACTCTTTTCAAGGCAATACCAATTGACGACCTCCGCCTTTTGGGTTGGATGTGGCAATTGCCCCGTCTGGCAACTTTGGGAATGTCTTTGGCTTCCCTTTCAAACACCTTTCTAAAGGTCTGCCGTCACACAAAAGGACACATATGAGTGCGTATTTGTTTTTTTGAGGGTACCTTCCTTTTTTATTTCCGGAAAACCAACAATAAGACATTTTTTTGTTGGGGGGGTCTCCCTTCCAACAAAGAACGGCCATACCCACAATAGCACCATTTGATTTGGGGGGTGTCTCCCCTAAACAAAAAAACACACACACACACATACTGTGGATGGACGATATCCACTTCGCACCACCGTTCAGAAACCCTGGGTTCTGTTGATTCCCCTGCAAATACCGACCAACAATGGTGTCAACCATGGATTCAAATTGGTCCGAACGGATTTCGCATCCATCCGCAGTACCATTGGAGGCAAAAGAAAGCCCCTTGAATAGTTGCAGGAGTCCAGAAGGCCCCTTGAATAGTTGCATTGTCTAGATTCAAGATTCGACACCTGGAAAAAAGACGTGAATCCGGATATCTCTTTCTCCCCAGCTCCAGGTCTCCGAGCCACCAGGAGATCCGCGAAGTCCTGCGAAAGATTTGGACTCGCATTGAAGCAAACCAGCGCCCATAGGTGTCCCTTTCTCAGTTGTGCAGTGATCCTGGAAAAAAATGGAGCTCTTTTTGGGGAAGACCATTTTAGTGGGGCAGCCACCAAAAAACATGGAAAAATAATTGGTGCCACTGGACAACTGAGTTTTTGGAAAAATAGATGGCCCTGGTAAATGGAATCAAACCCATCTAAACCAGTGCCTTCTATCTTTCACCAGACTAACCCAAAAAGGACACCTATGCGAGTGCCAAATGGCTGTGGCTCAAACAAAATGGAACCAACATGGCACCTTAAATGGAAAACACGCAAAAAAAACCAGCGGTTTGCCCTAGTTCTTGAGACACAGCCAAATGAGGTAGAATCAAGTTGACATACAAATATCATGGGATATGATTGCCTTGAGCCAACAGACTAGCCAAATGTAGAAGTTGACATACAAGTATCATGGAAAATGATAGAAACAAACACAAGCTTTCAGGGATACGAGGTAGAACAGGGTTGCGTACTGCAAAGCCGATAGTCATGAAACGTCAAGGCAAATAGTGTTGGTTTCTGCCCCCTAAGTCATTAGAACAGGGTTGTGTTGGGTCAACCTTAAACCCTACAGGATTCAAATGTTTTTCGTGTTCATGATTGTCAAGGGCAAACATCTAAAATGTATGGGTATTGTAACGCCGAAATACATGAATCATAGCAGACTAGTCTTAGTATTTGCTTAGCCCCTCCGCATATTGGACGTGCGGCAACACAGGTTAGACCAAGTTTGTGTAAACAACCCACCCCTCCTCCCCTCAACAGAAACCAAAGGAGTGTTGTTCAACCAGCAGCTCAAACATGGTTAAAGAAGAGGCTGCCCAAACCCTGGCGACAACACAGACATGGTTCCCTACATACAGTATGGGTTGCAGACGTGGCTCCTCAGGAACCCTGAACGCGCTGATCACGGCTCCCGCGTAAGGTATCAGGCAGAAGTGCGCCCGCTTTGACTTTTGAGTGACTTTTCACCGTGGTACAATGGTACATGTGCCTCTTAACGAAAACTTGCTGGTGCTCAGTAGGGAATGAGGGACTGAACCAAGGGTCCCCGTAAAGGAAACCACAAGGGATGGTTTATGGGGGTCATTTCCTCATTCCCTGCTGAAAACCAGCAAGAACGGAGGCACCTTCCGATTGGAGTTCCAATCTAACATCTAAATGCCCCTTGAGAACACTCCCCATATGACTCGGGCTTTCCTCGAGGTGGTGTTTGAACATCACCGGGTGAACGACGTCAAGAGAATGCCGCCCCAAGGCAACTTGGAGTCTCTGAATGGGACCGAAACCAAAGGGTTCGCAGCGAAGGGATTCTACTTTCGACTCCCACACCAACTCAGCGAAACATAAACTTTGTAACTCCAGGGTAGTCCGTTCGGCAATGAAACAATCCTGACTCGGCGGAGAAAGGGGCAGCCAAGGAAAGCCGAAAAAACAACTTCCAGACCCCATTTGTGACCCCCTTGTTGTGCACAACATCCACCCCCTCCTTGTGCTCTTCATTACCACCTCAGAAACCTTCTTTGAAGACGAGTTGCCATTTTGTTGCTCGTCACAAAATAGTTTGGCTTCTCCCAAAGAAACTCACTTCCTGATCGGATTGGTAAGAAAACAAAGCTCAAATGTTTCCTTCATCACTACAAAGGGAGTCCAACCCCAAAAAGTGACTAAAGGAGGGAAACAACGGTTTTCCTGTTGGCTTTTGTGGTTTCCCCCCCCACCGGTGGAGGCACCGCTCGGCTCGGTGGCTCGGTCCTGGCACAGCTCGGAGACCTCCTCGGATTCCTTCGTCAGCTGCTGCAAAAGCTGGCGGAGGAGTGCGATGGCGTGCGAGCCGATGCGATCGGTGCGAATCGATGCAGGGAATGAGAAATGGCCATGGGGGCAAAACCCAAATCGTACCCCCAGTGAACATCCGATTCAATCCCCACAAAAATCGACTAAAATGGATGGTGCACCTATCCCACAATGGTACCATTGGTGTTGAACCATGGCCAAATGAGTCATAATCAAAACCCGGTATTAGAATGGTCGACCCAGAACCATGCTTCAAGAATTAAGAAGGCGGCCGCAGCTATTTATGATTGGGATTGTCCCTTCCTAACCTTCATCTACCCGGGTTTTGATTATGGTTCAAATGGAGTCTGACCAAGAAAAACCCAATACGTGTGGTTTTCCTCCACACTGATTGCGAAGGCTCAAAGGAGCAACATGTTTGTGTGGTGGTGTCCTTTATCCGGGAATCCCCAAACAATTCATTCTCTCATTCCCTACCTATCGCACCAGCAAGTCGTTTGGTTGGCATGGAAGGAACACGCGGAATGCAAAAGGCTGTTTGAAGGGTCCCCTATGTCTTTTTGTCACTGAGGCTGGCAGATGTTGCGAACGACTCTAGAAAACGGCTTGGATGTGGCGAATCTGCGGAACCACCCTGTAGGATACCAAAAAAGAGTATTAAACGAGTACTGAAAAGGAACCTGCAGGGGGAAGAACGGGTGAAATCCACAACAAGCGCATCCAGGCCATGGAAAAAAAGAATCGGCTCTTTTTTGTTTGCTGGTTGACTTTAAAAGGAACCCCCCTCCAAAAGACCGAAACAAGGAAGCAATCCGCTTTCCGTCTTTTTGGACTCCAAAAAGCCGAGCTCAGCCCTGCACCCTGCAAAGGCAACCTTTGGAACCACCCCTTTCAGAAAGCGACGTGTGGCCTTTGGAGAAATGCAAGGGTTCTGCCAACACTCGATCAACAAACAAAACGGATTGCGGTTTTTACAACGTGGACTAGCTTCACGCTTAGGGAAGTCATGAACAAACATATTAAAAAGGCCGAGGACAGTCTTGGCTCAGCTCGGCTCAAACATTCTTAGGATCAGTGTGGCGTTTTTCGTTTTGATAATGGATTGAGTAATCTTGTAAATGTGGTCGCTTGATCTCTTGAGTGTGCTTTATTTTGAGCTTCAAATATCTTCTTTGCAGTCGCGATGTTTGCTGTTGTTTGATGCTTGGATTCTCGTACTTGAAATTATCTACTTCCCATGCGTCATTATTACAACACATAAATCATGGGTTTCCAGTGGCTACGTTCTTGCGTTCCAGGGAAATACACTCTTGCCAGTGTGTGTACGCGTGCGCGTATGTGTGTGTGTAAGTGTGTGTGTGTGTGTGTAAGTGTAAGTGTAAGTGTAAGTGTAAGTGTAAGTGTAAGTGTGTGTGTGTGTGTGTGTGTGTGTGTGTGTGTGTGTGTGTGTGTGTGTGTGTGTGTGTATGCGTGCGTGCGTGCGTGCGTGCGTGCGTGCGTGCGTGCGTGCGTGCGTGCGTGCGTGCGTGCGTGCGTGCGTGGGTGTGTGTGTGTGTGTTTGTGCTTGTGGTTGTGCTTGTGCTTGTGCTTGTGCTTGTGCTTGTGTGTGTGTGTTTGTGCTTGTGCTTGTGCTTGTGCGTGTGCTTGTGCTTGTGTTTGTGTGTTTGTGTTTGTGTTTGTGTTTGTGCTTGTGTGTGTGTGTTTGTGTTTGTGCTTGTGCTTGTGCTTGTGTTTGTGTTTGTGTTTGGGCTTGGGTTTGGGTTTGTGGTTGTGGTTGTGTTCGTGATTGTGTTCGTGTTCGTGCTTGTGCTTGTGCTTTTGCTTCTGCTTCTGTTTGTGTTTGTGTCTGTGTTTGTTTGTTTGTGTGTGTTTGTTTGTGTGTTTGTGTGTGTGTGCCGTGTCTGCGCCGGTGTCCGGGAGCGTGTCTCTGTGTGTGTGTGTGTTGCATTGTGAGCTGTGCATGCTTTGCATATCCGTTGTGCTCTCTGCTCTCTTCGTGTAGTTTGCCCGAGCAGATAGCTCCGCATCAGCCACGCAAGCTTGGCAAAATATGGGTCATGGATAGGAATCCATCCCGACAAATCCCGAAGGCGTGTTTTCACCATGGCCCGAGTGAGTCCTCTCTTGATTCAATGAGTGCCTGGTCGTTCTCTGGCTTGGCATCTACTGGAGGAAGGCCGGCCCCACCCTCGCGGCGCTTGATCGGAGGTTAATTAACTCACAACATGCGCAAAGGTCATAATGTCTTCTGATTGATGCAGACCAATTCGAGAATGGGACTCTCTGTAGGAAATCGGTTGTTGAGGAATCAGTCGCTTCAAAGGGAACGCTGGGGTTCTTGTTTTAGGGTCCTGCCATCCCCTCGTTTCACCTTGATGTCGGGTTTATGCGGAGGACTATTCTAATCACGCAAGGGAGATCCTCTGGATAGTATGATCAAAAGTTAACATATCTATGTGTTGCTGTGTGATTGAATTTTCCGAACAACCACAAACCACATTTTCGTGTGAATAGTTCATGACCATGCCAACAAGCGCCCTCCGTGTCCTCCAATCTAACCGCTCTTGAAAGTTGTCTTCCCCTCGTTCCTTGAGGTCAAAAACAGGAATCAAAGAAAACAACCGGACCACATGAAATAACGAAAGAGGTACCTGTATAGCCCGCGTGGTAAGAAGGGGAGCTGGGAAACATGGCAATTATTCTTCGAGCTACTCATGTTCATATTGGCACCCAGTAAATCAGCTGCTCCCCTGCCACATTCCGGGAACATGTAAGAAACCGCCCCTATCCACCCCAACCAGCTGCCTTTCAGGGGTGGGGATCCAAAAACCGCGCTGATTTTAGTTTGAGGATTTCAAATGTATGGTTTGTTTGTCTCATTTTGACGGGGTCACTTCTCCATAATGTCCGCTTCACGAGTTGCATGTACTGGTGGGCTCCACTGAAGCTGCCATCTTTGGAGCTCCAAACAAATAGCAGCAACAATGAGGGAGCCCCATAGGTGTCCTTTTAGAGCAAATAGATGGCCCTGGTACTTGATTAAACCACCAGGTACACCAGGGCCATCTATCTTTCCACCAAAACAACCAACAGTTTGAGTCGCCGGTCAAATTTGCGAGGTTGCCACTCACCCAGCCACTTGTCGAGTTGGTCTTCTACACAGCCTGGGTTGGTACGAGAACTTTAGAAAGGCAATGCAAGCAGATGCGTGTATACTATATATATATACACATACATATACATGTACACATACATGATGCACAATGCTTCCTAAGTCGCTCCAAAGCCGATGCCTTCTTCTGGTGCATGTTGAAGAGGCGGATGCCCAGCACGATCCCGGTCAACTCCTGCACAACATCTCAGATCGAGGGTCACCCGGGGCTACCTCTGATTGCCCCCTATCATTCGCAAAACGGAACTCCAATTGAAATTGGCCACACATCTGGTTCCTTCCACTTGGTGGTGTGGATTTGTGGTTTGGTGGTAAAGGAGGGTTACCCATCTACTTGCCGTCCAAACCGCCGTGACGGCTCGGGGCTAGGAGCATCCCTGAAGGAAAGCCGCCAGGACCAACTTGTGACATGTCATCCAGAGGATCACTGCAAGCGGACCGTTCTCTTGGAGGATGCATTTTGAGGGTCAAAAACCCAGGTTTGCGTAATTGCCCTTGGTTGCTTTTCCCCCCAAAGCAAAAAGCTGTTAGACCTTTTGTAGAAAAGCCGTTTGCAATATCCAAAAGGTTTAAGGATCTCTACAAACCTCCGTGATTGGGGCCTATTTGGTGCTCAAGCCATGTAAAAGGCCTGGTGCTTCCTTTTGCCATAGTAGGTAACCATGGGAAATGAACACACAGAAGTGGTTGCTGAGCCGCTCAACTTCTTGCTCCAAATGAATGCGGTTGGTGTCGCTACCAAACCAAACATCACCAACCAACACCAACTGGATAAAATGCCCGCGGAACCCCAAAACCCCAAAGACCCGCCATAAAAACCGCCATCCACACATCACCAAACGTCACCAAGGCCTCAAAACGCGCCATCAACAGTCCGCACGTGGCTCGCACTCGCCGGGACCCTTCGAAAAGAGGCGCCTGCAGCTGCGCGGCCTTCTCCGCGCCCGTGAGCGCCACGAAGGACCGGAGCCTTGCAGCCCGCGTTCAGATTGAACTTCAGTCACAGATGGACCGGGTGGTAGGAGAATGAGGGATAAGGAAAGGCCACCTCTCTATACCACCTGCGGCTTTCAGAATTGCCAAAGGTGGGTTGAACTTCAAAGCCACCTATCTCTATCACATGTCCCACCTATTTTCAATTTTGAAGAGGGGGGTGTTCCCCTCCAAAGCCATGATTTGCCACTAAACTCAGAGAGAAGCACCTTATTGATAAAGCAGTTGGTGGATGAATATGGGGTCAACACGACCACGTGTAGTGGGTGAAATGGAAACCGGACCAAACCAACTAAAAGGCTAAAAAACAACGGGGCGGGGAAAAAACAAAACAAAACGGGTCTTGTTGGTGCAGCCTATGAACAAATGCGGGTTGCCGTTTTTGTTTATTCTTCTTTCCCCCCCCTTGTTTTTTTGAAGAAGCAACAAAACCTTGACCTGAGCAAAACTGAACAGAACCATAAACAACAGGACAACCTGTCAGTTCGCAAGCTTGAGAAGAACGATCGAGCTATTGAACTGTGAACGCAGAGCTGTCAGAATTGTACATGAGCTACGACACTTGCTTGCTGCACCGTTGAATGGTCGGGTGTTCCCAGCTCGTTCTCCAACCCTGCACTCGTTTGCACGCATTCGCACCTAAGTCAGTATGTTAGCCCAACGTGTTTGTCCGGCCTTTGCTACAGTTTTGAGCAAATATAGGCAGCCGCTCACATATCTTTCTTGATGATACTGGTTGTCTACTTGCGTGTTTGTGACTGTCGCATCATTTCGTTGGCACTCTGTTACCCCCAGTCACTTCCATTTGCTTCAGCCCACTGGGAAAAAAACAACATATTTCCAGTAGTCATAGATTCCATTTGAAACCAACAGCGAAAATAACAAATCTTCTTACACTCCCTCAGACAAATGGAAGCTCCCCCAATTGGCCTCTGTAAACGGAACCAAGTCTTCCAAAGAGGTGGGAGCTTCCATGGAATCGTCTGGCGGAGGGTAAGCGGATGGAAGGTCTGGCTCCGCGAAAGGCTGGCGAGTTTCGGTTCTGAGCGCTGCGCCCGACACGGGGGAAGACCGACTCCAGAGCTGCTGCCACCTGAGAACATCCCATCCCATTCCAGACATCCACCCATCGGAAAACGACCGCGTGTTGCTTTGAACAGAAGCATGGCTCAAGAAAATAGGGACTCAACCTCTGGAATGGAGCCAATTGCACCTTTCAAGGAAATGTCCATAGCCGGTGAGGGTGTCAGTACTCCTCAGTTCGGTGAGCAGGCTGGCTCCCTCATCCTAAAGTGTTCGAGCCAGTGGGCAAAGCTATCAACGCGTCGTGCGCAAATCTCAGTACACACATGTGGCAGCTGAAAGCAAGCCAAGAATTGCGAAGTGGAATTGAGGCCACCCCCCATTACGGGATTTGCATCATGGATGAGATGGGCTTGCTTCTGGATGTGCTTAGTATCAATTGCACAAACACTGCATAACATAATATGTTACACCCACGCACACGCACACACACACACACAAAAAAGGACCATCAAGAAGCAACAATGACAAGAAATAAATGGCGTCAAGCGGCTCAGAACCTAGCCAACAACTTATTATGACCGGCCACACACCCGTAGCAAGCACTGATCATAATATTTCCAAAGAGTCATAAGACCTCACCTCAACTTCACTCTGACCCACCCATCCCCCCCCCCCCAAAAAAAAAAAACTTCATGAACCAATCCCAAATCATCAACCACTGCATCACAAAAGATAATACCCGCCCGCCAACATGGAACCCAACTTCATGGGTCCCGTCTAAAAGGAATTGCTCTAAGCCAGGACCATCAGGTTCCATCCGCATCTAATCTATACACATCACCCCCAACAGAAAAGCTCATTTGAATATTGATGGATGACACCAGAACTCATTTGGACACTCTAGGACTCTAGGAATCCAACGGGTTTGTCTTAGGGACTCCACAAAATGGGCGGTTGCCCATGGACGGTTTCTTGCTGGTCAGTACCGCCCGCCGGCCTCCCTCTCCACCGCCATGTCTTTCGGCGGCTTGGCCTCCCCTCTTGGGCTGGTACACCTGGCATAGCAAGACTGTCCCCTCCAAATTCCGGAGGAAAATACATAATAAACAACCGTCTTCCCATGATCCCCAAAAGTCGAAAGTCTCAACATCGCGTTTCGAGAAACAAACACCTAAGGCATGAGGCAGTGCCGCGGGCATCTGGAGCGCTTCGATATATGAAAAGGGGGTAACCTACATGCCCTGCAGGCCCGACAAATGTTGTTTGTTGCCAAACATGGTCATGTCGCTTCAAAATCAAGCACCCAAAACGCACATGGCAGGGAGGGTGGACCCGAACAAACGTGTGCTCATACAGAGCCAAGTCTTTCCAGCTTCCCAAGTCGTCTCTTCGTCATGGACTCCTGCATCGAAAGGGCAAACATATGCACCTAGCTTTCCCTTTTTGAATGGTGCTCAAACCTGAGCACATAGGGACCGACCGCTTGGGGGTCAGCAGTTGGAAAACAACGCTCTTCTTCAACCGTTTCCTCTACGTCTCCTTTGAGCACTAACCTCAAGAGGAAACCCAAGATTCCTGGAACACTCGGGGACTCCAGGGACGCCTTCCTAACGCAGCCCGCCAGCCTGAGGAGCAGGAAGTGGTAGATCTTTTTGTAGAGGCTGGTCAGCGTATCGAAGTCCTAGCGCTCGAACGTGGCATTTGGCGGTTTCGCAGATGCCCAGTGGCCATGGGAAAAAACAGGCATCCTTTTTTGGTTGGTTGACTTGAAAGGGGAACCCTTCCCAAACACTTGGCCATGGGTCAAAATCCAAATCGTACTCCCAGTGCATCCCAATTTCCATTAAAATAGGTTCTAAAATGGGTGGTGCACCTACCAACCAAAATGGTACCATCGGTTTTGAGCCACAGCCACTTGGCAGTTTCCATGTTTTCCAGTTAAATGAAGCCCAAAAAGATTGCCTCAAACAAGGGCAGCACCTACCCACGTCAAATTGCTGGCAATGGACTCGAGCTGTGTGGAGGCAGCGCAACCAACTTAGTCATAAGTCAAGGCCGCCCTCCCCTACGCGTTTCTCCGACGGGTGAAATACAAGCGGCATGGAATCAGAAGCGCAGCATCTATGGCTTCCTGGAAACCTCCACTTTGCTCTCACACGCGCTCGCGATACGGATAGGGCTCTCCGGGCCTACCAGTGAAAAGAGGCGATCACCTCAACGGGGAGAAAGCACCCGATGAAGTGGGAAGGACCAAGATTTGGTCGAAAGAGAGCCGCCTAGCATAGCCAGGCGGGCGATGGCTTCAAGTTGCTGTACAGGAAGCCAAAGACGGGCTCCTTTGATGGTGCCGTCCGGAAACCTAACGTGCACACTCCTATGGTACTTACAGCAGTAAGACCCGGGGTGAAGCACCCCATGAAGTTTCCGGTGCAAGACCGACAAGAGGTATTTAAGCCACTGGATGACTATCTCAAGAGTCAAGACGCCAGCACAAGGAGGAAAGGCGCATGCAGGTGTGTCCCAGGCCCAGAAGACAAAAGCAACTGCCAGCTCAACTGCCGAGGTGTTGAGCTCAGGGCCTTCAGCCCAGGCAAGAGATTGAAAGAAGGCTTTAGTCTTAGCCCAGGTAGGGACAGTTTTCCGAATTCTATATGGCGGGACATCTGGGATGTCAGCTGGGACCCAGCAAGCTTCTTCAAGCCGGAAATCCCAGGGCCAGTTGGGATATGATTGGCGCACAGGAATGTTGGCTGGCGCAAGTGCGTCGGTGATCAACTGAGGGTCCTCTTCGGGATTTTCATCAGGAGCGATTTCACTGAGCACCGTGTTGAGGCGGCTAAGCCAAATATGGTGATGGCTAATTTCGGCCCGGGTGGCTTCGGAGGGGAAACACATAACTCCTCGCGCATTGATAGCGGCAGACCGGGCCGCATCGTGGGCATTTCTATTTCCCCGAATATCATTTGAGGTAATGCTAAAAGCGTCAAGGAGATTTTGGGGAACAAGCTCAGGGGAGAGACCTTCCCCCACATGGCCTTTAACCCACTTCAAAAGAAGGGGATCTTGAGAAATTTTCCTAGAGTGGAAAAGCAAAAGCACTCTATTCCAGATATCGGAGCAACACGTGGCATGGGGCACTGTGTTGCCTGCAAGGATAGTCTTCCAAGAGTCGACCGCAACTTTGCAATCTGTGGAAACTGTAACTGGTGAGGAGGCACCTGCGAAGGCCCTCCAAATTGCGAGGGTTTCAACTGCGACTGAGCTGGCGGTGACGGAGCACCCGGATCCCTGGTCAAGGATAGTTCCGTCCGCCGAAACACAAGCGAAGGCATATGTCTGGGTCCACGGGTGGTCAGAGCCAATTATCGAGGCATCCGTCCACAAATGAACAGGTTCGCTCTCGCTGTAAGGCACGACGCAGCAGTTAATGAAATTAGACCACGGTGTCTGTTGGGCGATCACTTGAGCAGGCAGCTCAACAATGCCATGCGAAAGGAAATTCGGGCCAAGGTCCTCACGGGACGAGGCGTGTCCTATTCGCTTGGCTAAATTTGGGCATTCCCTTAAATGAAAAAGGGACTCCTCCTCACTTCCACAAAACCTGCATTTGGGATGGGGAATAAGCCCTGCACTATACAAAAGCTTAGCGGAGAGGGTACATCCGACAACTGCAGAAAAGCACATCTCACGGTCGGGGTTTTGGGATGTCTTGGCGGTGAAGGACAAGGTGAGGTCAGAATCAAGGATGCTCACAGGATCCGTAAGATCCTTTCGGCGTCCTTTTGAAGCCGACTGATAAGCAACATTTCTGATGGCTCTATACAGCAAATTCTTTATCACAGCAATGTCACACTGGAGGAAATTAACCGCGATACAATCAAAGAAAGTCACTTTGGAAGGAGCACAAAAGGAAATGCCACAGTGATCACAGGCAAGCTGAAAAGAGGCAACCAGCGAATGCTTTGGGGAATGGGTCGAAACGGCAGTCCACATGTGGAAGGCATGAGGTTCACTCCTGAGAAATTTCACGATTCCCAATATGGCCCGGACTGCTCTGGCATAATAGGGATCAACTTGCCAAGGCTTGAATTTCAAGCCAAGGAGGAGAAAGGTGGACCGCCAGTGGGGCCGGCCCCTCCATAGCGTCGCGGCGATCAAGGCACGCAGGTGGGCGCCTACCCTCTTGGGAATCGGGTTGACCTCAGAAATATAGCTGATCATAGGAATGGCTTTGGCCGTAATAAAGTGAGCTTTTTCGGCCGTATTCAGGGGGAGATCACCTATGGCTTTGACTGCAGTGCGGAACTTGTTGGACTTTTCTTCCTGCCAGGCAAAGGCATTTCGCTCCGAGGAGAGCATGGTTGCACCTAACATGGGAATCTCAAGCTTGTGCTGGAAGTGCGGGAAAATGTCTCTGATCGCTTTCCTGGCGGAGGTAGAAGAACCCCATGCGACTGATTTTTCGGCGTTAGTGCTCTGGCCGACCAGAAGGTCCCACACTTCAGTGATGGTCACAGCACGGCGAAGTGTTTCAATGCGGGTTAGTTTTGCCCACATGTAAGAATCGTCCAGGAAAGCGGCGTGGTCTGGGATGCCGATCTGGCTGAGCATGGCAGACCAACAAGCCATCTGCACGTTTAGCGCAAGCACAGACAGTGGGCAACCTTGTGCCATGCCACACGTTGAGGAAAGGAGAGAAGGATGTGCAAACTTTTTCCAAGTGATAACGCGGCGGTAACTCTGATAAAAGGCAATGATATAGGTAACAAGATTTTTGGGGATGCCAAGGGCAAGCCAAATTGCACCCACCGTGGACGGCAACAATCTATCAAAGCACTTAGCCTTATCAAGATGAACTCCCACGATCGGGTCGCTAGTGCAGTGGGCGTTGTCAATAGCAAGCCTCAGCCTGTGGGTGACCAAAGAAACGTGCCTTTTCTTTATCCCTCCGCACAGCTGCTTCGGAAGAATCTGCGATTGCCAAGCAGTGGTGTGAGCAAACCGGGCGCTCGCATACATGATTGAGAAAATGGGGAGCACACTGATCAAGCGTTTGGCAAGGGGAGCATGGCCACCTTTCTTAGGGAGCATGACCTGCCGGGCGGTGGCTGCTGCGATGGGGACCCTTGAGCCATTTTCTACCGCGGCGCAGTAGAGAGCTAACGGACGGAACGCACACGGAGGCAAGGATTGGAGCTCAATGGTGGCCCATCCATCGATTCCTCCTGCTGCTCTGGAATCGCGTCTTTTGAGGGCTTCATAAAGATGATCCTCATTGATAGCGGGGAGCATACACCGAAGCCTATGGCGGTCAATCCAGTCCCAGGCGGCGTTAACAGGGGCCATGGGGTTCGGAGGCACTTCATGGGCACCAAAAACGGAGTCCCACTGCTGGGCGGACACGGCCAGTGCGTCGACTGGGTGGTAGATTATTTCGCCCTGAAGGTCAGTGATGACATTAGGGGAATTGTCCATTGCACGTTTTTTCAAGTATTTAAAGATAGGAGCTTTGGAGGTGGGCTGCTTTCCACATCCAGCATCCTTCATCAACTTTTTCCAATCACGGATGGCTGCCATTTTTTCCCTGCGGGCCGCACTTGAAATGTAGTTTAAGACATGGTTTTTGTACTCGACGAGCTTGTGAAGGTCAGGCCACGCAGGCAGCGTGGGAATCTGGAGCAGCGACAGGAGCATCCTGCGCACACGTTGCCATGTAGAATCAAACCTAGATTCGTCAAGCCCGGGTTTGATACCCCGCTGAAGTCTGATGCACATTTCCTTGATTTTGGCCAAAAGGGAAGAATGGGGTTTAGTCCATCTGGAAGTTTTGGGGCAATCTTCCTTGAAAGAAGGTAGGTCACCTCTAACCTTTTTCCCACTATTCCACTTGGCACCAGCGCTTTGCAGAATGTGGAGGGCAAACTGGTGCGAAATTTGCCACAGATGAGGGGCAGACGAACTGGCCGCTTCAGCTCGCTCAGCATATTCAGAATGCCACAACTTTTCCGCAAGTTCGGTGAGCGGGTGCGGATGATCCCTTGGGCCGGTCTGAGATGGGAGGCCACCAAGGTTTAAAGAAGCGGGTTTATCGATGACAAACCCCTTTTTTTCAAGAATGACCCAATCGAACGAGACCCGTATGGGGATATGCTGCTTAGCCCAACTATAAATAAGGGAGGCACCTCGGCAGGCGGCCGTGGCAGTGGCGTTAAGCAAAATGCCGTCAATGGAAGATTTTCCCTCAGTGGTAGCATCCCAATTACTGCGCTGGTCGAAAGTGAGGGGACGAAGGATGTTGTCATCCTCATCAACAGATTCAAGCGGATCGCTCCAATAGCCTAACTCAATGGCGAGCGCGAGATTGCAGTAATTTCGGGGTTCATCCTGGAAATCCCCACCAATAGCAACAGGGCAATTTTGAAACTGGGCAGCGATAAGCAAAATTTTGTCAAGAATGCCGGTGTTATAGTCATGGAGGGACTTAACCTGTGAGGCACCACTTGCGCCATAGAAGGAGAAAACTAAAAACTGCACACCAGGCGTCGGGGTGACCCACGCGGCACACACCCTGGCTGTGGAGAGCACGGTGTTCCAAAGACCTGTGGCATCTTCTTCTGCAGAGAAAGGCCTGGAGGTGCCAGCGTCTGCAATGAACGCAACACCACCGGCTTGGGCACGGTTAACCCCACGGACATCTGTGGTACGTGGAAGAGGACGACCCGGGATGAGGTCAAGATTAGCAGCGGCAGCACGGGCGTGCTGTTTGGCTAAGTTTCGTTCTTCGAGACGAGTCTCCTGAAGGGCAATGAAAGGGGCATCCCACTCGAACACGGAATCATGGGAAGGGACGGATCCCACATTGGCCGAGATAATGGACCACGGTTTTTCCGCAGGTCCTTCACCGGGGTAACCCTTGGTAGAGTCAAATGCGTCAAAGAGAAAAGGCAAGAAAGGACAAGGCCAGGTCACAAAGACGAAAAACAGAACATCAGGGAGATTCCCACAGTAAAGTGCAAAAAGCGAAAGGTTCGTGCCGGTATGCAACTGCGGAGCATCACCGAGGCGGCAGGCCTGGGGCTCAAAGAAACCCTTGAGCCGTCTGCCACCATCAGGTTGGACACTTTTGGCAAAATAGAAAATGGCTCTGCCGAAACAGATAACAACTTTTGTGGCGACAAATCCGCTTCCAGGTACAACTGGGAAGAAGCTCATAAGGTCCGGGATGGTATGGTTTTGTGAGGTGCAGTGGTGGGGCGATGCAACGGTGCATCTGACACGATGCAAGGCGTCCTGTAGGGGTGGTAATAAAGCTTGAGTGTATTTCAACACTGCAAAGAAGCACAGGTTACACAGATTCGAATTACTTCCTTTGCACAAAGTGGTATGTAGCAGCAAGCTGTTGGGGGAGCTTGAAGACACGCAATCACCATGGCGCGTGCTCGGCGAAAAAACAATGTGGACACACACAGTCATGCACCGATGAAGTTGGCCATCAAGACATGGCATTGAAAAACAAGCCAATCGCATCGTACTGGGAGCGTGATGCGCAATGGCACAAAAGGTGCAAGGCATGCAGTGGAAAGGCGTAGGTGGGCTTTGCCACCAAGCCTCGGCGTTAGATTGCACAACGTACTGATGAACACAACAAGGATTGCAGCTCACAGAATGGGAAGAGCCCACACGGAAGCAATTGGGATAAGTGACAAAGCGGTTCCTAGATACGGTCAAAAGCAAGCTAAGCTGGAAGCCCTCAAGGTCCGAGATGGCAAGAGCGTGGCGCTGAATTACACGAAAAGCGAGGGATGCGAAGCAGGAAAGCGCAGGAGGGCTTTGCCGCCAAGTCCCTGCATTAAGTTGCACGACGTGTTGGTGAACACGCCCAGGATTGTAGCTCTCAGAATGGGAAGTACCCACACGAAAGCGATTGGCAAAGCGTTGGTCGCTATGGCAGCCAAGTGGGAAAGAAGGCCGGCAATGCGCTCCACCGGAGGGGTGACCACAACCACGAGTGTTCAGAGGGTAAAACCTATCCCCGCATAGGGTAAACCACAAACACACGAGGAAAGGCGCTCTCCAGTAGATACAAGGCCACTGGCGGGCTTTACTGGTGCAAATGCAAGGATTGGAAGTGCGAGACCGCTGGGACATCCGGGTCTCGGTGCAGGGCGGAGATTGGGCTCCGTCACTGATCGGCTTTAATGTGCTTCGGGGGCGGCGTGTCACCCGAGGGCTGGCGCTCACGGGGGGCAACGGCTGCGAGGATCTGTCTGAGCTGGTCGCCAAGCTGATCAAAACGGTTGTCAACCTTCTGGGAAAGGCCCTCATGTCTGTTCTCAAGGCTGCACATTTTGGCTTCGAGGATGTCGAGCCTTCCTGCGTTGGGCGCAGCCTCAACGTTGGTTTTGGAGGCAACGCTGACCTCGCTGACCGGAATTCGCTTGTTGTTGGTGGCCTTTTCAGGCTCAGCGGCACGATTTTTCGGGCCTCGGGATGGCTTTGGTGGGGGATTGGGCTCATCGGGAAACAGGATAATGGAGTGAGGGACGCCACTGACACTGACTTGGAACTGTGTGATCTTGGGGACATCGCTGAACCCAAGCTGCCATGTGAGAACTCCGGCTCTGCGAAAAGACCTGATGGGGATCGGCGGGGACTTTGTGGCAAGCGCAGTGGCACGGATAAGCTCAGCGTGATCAATGCCAAAGGGAAACCCTTGGGCAAGCACAAACGCCCTGGGAATCACAGAGATGTTCTCACTGGTGTATCTCGAATCACCCTGCAGGATCGTGGTTCGAGCTTCGCTGATGGTGGAATTGGTTGCTCGGATGCAAATCCCTCGCTTTGTGACCTGGAGACCGAGGAATCCTTTCACTGTGAGGCCAAGGGTTCGGGCCTCGGCTTTGCCGGCTGGGGAGATGGGCCAATACCTCGGTATGATGGACACATCCTTAAGCTGTTCACCTTGGTGCTGGTAGTCTCTGATGAACAATTCGCCGGAACCGGACAGCATGAGCAACTTGGATCGGTCGTCGGTCTTAATCCTGACAAGCGCCTGGTAGACGCTGGCATTGTCTTGGCCGTGCAACTTTCGGAAAGCATACAATGGGATTCCCTGACCAACCTGGGAATATTGCTCAATCATGTCACGGAATTGGGCGAGTGGGCCGGGTCGCTGTCCACGAAAAAGCTCACATGTGTTCTTGTGGGCAAGCCTCTCATCAACCTCAAGGACGAGTTCAGAGTGAGGGAGGAGAGTGAGGGCGATGGGGGATTGCGGCTTTGGCTTTGCGACCTCAACCGGATTCCTCAGTATCACGACAAGCACCAGGCGCTTGTATGCAATTGCTGCGGCTTCATCCTGCACTAGAATTTCAACGGGACCAATTGTGCGATTGCGGAGCTCCGGGAGGCTCTGGGTGCTGGGATCATTGCCTGGCAGGGCGCTGGGTCCTGGGACTTGGGCCTTTAGGTGGTCTTTGAGGAAACCCTTGGTACAGAATGCAACTCCAGGAACAGCAGCTCCGAGCTGCAACCTCTTGACACAAGCAAGTGGGGTGGAATCAGTTGGGTTGTGAATGCAATGATCACTTGGGAGGGAGAGGTCCTCCCACTTTGACTTTCTCTGGATGGTGCCGCTCTGCCACGGGTCATGCACAAGCCACGGGTCAGTGGAACCACAAGCCGATGTTGGCGGGTGGAGCCCCGGTGGCGGGGTTGTCTTGGGCAATGCGCTGGATTGATCGGCAACACCTCCTTTCAAAGGAAAGAGGCGCAACACAAGCACACAAGGGTCGGCGTCAGGCACATGCTGAGTGGAGTCAAGGGGCTTATTGAGATGGAAAATCCGGGCAACCTCCAGGATGGCAGGAAGAACCCCAAAGCTTCGCACAGCTTCACTCACTGTGGTGCCGACTGGAACCTGGCTCTGCTCACATCTGCCAACATGGTCAACAAAAATGATATTGATGATCGGATTGTTGCGTGGGGGTTCGAGGCAAATCTTGGGTCTCTTTGCGGGTCTGGGCTGGTCAGGCACGAAGGGAACAGTAGGCAAATCCGAAGGCATCTGGTGGGCAACTGGCACGCTCCACGGGATTGTGGGGGAGATGGGGACAACATCACGTTGGGGCAGCTGTGGCACACAAAGCAATGGCTTATCAAGGAGGTGCTGGACCGGCGCAGACCTACTGATATGCCTTCCTTCGCAAGTGAACTGTTGGCTGGGCACAGCTGCAATCTCGGGAAAGAGCTCAAAAGCTACCGCAGCAACATTGACGGTTTCAGGCACAACAAGCTGGCGGGACTGGTCACCATGCCTGACCGTGACGCTGAGGCGTGGGGTGAGTGCACCGATGGGATTCGCAACTCGGGTGATCTTCCACCCTCCAGGGACAAGCACAATGGCCGAGTTCTCGGCATGAAGCTTGGCTTTGGCGATGCTGATGGCAATAGGCGCAAGGCGGGTGTCTTCGGCTCTGCCAAGTCTGACCAATCCGGCTTGGAAGGCAATGATGGCATGTGCTGGTGCGATAGAGTTACCAACTCCTCTGAAAGCTTCACACAGATCAAACGGCAAGAGCAGCTCGTCAACACACCCGAGGAAGCACGCCCATTCCTGCGGGCTGAAGAAGGCAATCTGGTCTCCCAACCATCGAAGTTGCGCGTAGATCCCTCCTGTCGTGGCCAAATGCTTAACATCGATGGCATGCTGATTCCCATAGCTGGCGCACAGGGTGGCGAGGGGTTCGCTGACACGGGGAATGCGGGTCTTGATGGGATCCCATTTGTCGAAAGCGGGGCCTAGCTTGGAACTGTACGCTGGGGTCAGGAGCTTGGGATTATTATAAATCTCAAGTGTCCTAGGGTTGAGATAGCACTGTTGGGCGAGCTCCTCCGGCAGATTGAAAGAAAACTCAGGGTGATCCAAGTGGTCTCTCATGCAAGGCGGTGTGGTCCACAATGGGATGGCAGGAGCGAGGGCGATGTCCTCCCGAATCCACACCCCCAACCATCTGTTGCGCTTGCAGGGCAAAATCTGGTTCACATCGATCACATCATGCCAGGCTAGCTTGTAACCCGCAAAGGTGAAGGCCTGGCACACTAGGTCAAAGTGCTTGTGCTGGGAAAAACCTGACACGTTCTCTGCAAAAATGGCCACAGGACGGCACCTTCGTGCACTCATGGCGGCCTCAGCAAATGCAATACCATTGACCGAACACAGTCCGGAAGTGGTACCGCCGGAGGACCAAGGCTGACACGGTGGGCTGATGGAAAAGGTAAGGTTGTCACATTGCGGGAGCGCTTCAGGCCACCAAACATCAGCAATACTGGCTTGGACTATCCGATGGCGATCATCCTGGTGAATCTGGGCTGGCTTGGTAATGAGGCTACCTGCTGTCTGCTTCCTGACCATCTGGCACACTTCCTCGGAGATATCCAGGGAGAAAGGCAAGGACTGGATAGGTAATCCCTGCGATGCTGCCCACACTGCAGCTTGATTCCAACCGCGGAAGCTACCTGAGAAGAGGTGCGCTATTTTCAAAGGTTGGGCATCGTACAGCATAGGCACTTTGGTGCACACGGATGAATCGTCCAGCAAGAGACAAGCCCCCTCTCCAGTTGGATTGCATTCACTCTTGGCGTTCTGACAGGCGATCACGATGCCGGGGTGCCAGGCAAACGGGAAACTGCGTCTGATGGCAATCACAATCTCGGCCGGGCCTACACTAGGAAGAGGGGGGGATCCCAATTCATTAGATAACCCTAGGTTCAACAAATGTGCACGGCAAGTGGATCCAACGACAGGCACATCAGGCGGGCTCACGGGCTGGACAAAACAACAGATGCGTGTCGGTTGGGACGGGAGGGCCACATGCACGGAAGCGGATTGGGTCAAGCCCTTCAGCACATCCCTGGCAGTTTGATGCACCATGGGGCGAAAGGCGAAAACACAGGCGAGTTCCCGAAAAAGGGCCGCCGCAAGTGCAGTCACACAGGGCACCACAAGAACTAAAAGGGGAAGGCCAACGAGTGGAAAGGCCTACAGTCAACACGGATTCCAAAGGTCACCACGAGGTGGACAAGCTCCGAAGAGCAAAGCACAAGCGGACCAGGGGAAAGTTCAGGTGGAACTCCTTGTAGACGTCGCGACGAAATGGCGTTCCCGGGCGCGACCCTGGTGCCCCTAGCACCTGAGCTACCTAGGCTTCTCGAACCCCAGCAGTGGAAACCTCCACTTTGCTCATTTGCGCGTGGGGATTCATGCGCCGGCTTTTCTCTTTTTTTTCAGGGACCCCTCGATTGGACACCATTTAGGTTGGGATTCAAGTCCACCAACCACTTTTGATGTGGTTCCTTACTAAAATTCACAGCCATATATTGTATGGTCAGGCTCTGCTCATTTACTCCTGCCAAAACAGCCAAAGACCAGTTCACACCCAAACGCGCCAAGGCCGGTTGCCCGGTTGCTGGGTCCTCGTCGAATTTGGCGGTGAACTTCGAAATCCATGCCAGCGTCTTCTCTTCGGCAGCCTCCATCATTGAGGTTTGTCTCAAAATAGGATATGGAATCCCCGATATGGATATGTTTGTCGCAACTAAACACGCACACACACACACACAAAAAAACAAAACAAAAAAACAATCAAACATACATACAAACAAACACCCATTGGGCCACGTTGTGCCGTCTTTAACAGAAGTCCAAAAAAGTCCATAATTTGACACCCGCCATTTTGTCCGCATCAGTTGGACCCTTTTGACACTTTTAGAGGGGAATTCTTGCCATGCCCTGGAAATTGACACCCTACGTGTATATTGGGTGAGTGAGCTGCATGTTCCAGACTTGGCTAGCGCCATCTCCTTTTAGAAAAATTGCCTTAGATTCGCCCCAAATGTTGCACGTGAAACATTCTTTAGGGTGGGGTTTCATGGAACTAACCATAGGGAAATCATAGGGATTCCATAGGGAAACCATTTTTTGGGAAACCATAGGGCAACCCGTTTGTTGGCGGGGGCCACTATCTTAAGACACAACTAGGTGAATGTTCATGTCCCACTCTTGAAAGTCATAGCCATAGTCTGCCCATTTTATGGTTGGTGTGTTGTTTCTTTTTGGGCTTCCGTATTCTAAGAGACACCCGGATCCCACAATCTCTGCCAATTCCACTTTTGAGGGGGTCGGTTCAGATGCTTGCTTCATGTGGCACCACAGGTCTGTTGGCTTAACCCCCCGCTCCCACCATCCACGGGAATCACCCCTCCTAGATGGAACCAGCCCAGCTTGCCCAACCATTTGGGAAGTCCAGTGGCCTCTCTCTCTCTCTCTCTCTCTCTTTAGGACCTCATACAAAGAGACTCCATTCGCGCGACAACTCGTGCTTCGCGCCTTGGCGTCGGCCAAGTGCTTCGTATTTGCCTGGCCAAACTCTAAGCATCTCATGGACCCATGTACAGGGTTCCATTCCGGCCCATCATAGGGCGAAAGCAACACACCAGCATTCATCAGGGCAAATGTCAAGCATCTTTTTGCATGACTGGTGTGACCCGTGAAAGCTGGGTGTCATCCCCTTTCTTACATGTTCCATCTCTCAACATACATATGGCTGTGGGTCAAACCAATGGTACCATTTTGGGGTAGGTGCACCACCCATTTTAGTCTCTTTAGTGGGTACGGGATCATGGCCATGTCATGGCTCTCTTGTGAAACGCATTCTCACCAGTGTTTGAACGTACCTCGAATCTCCCGCATAGTGCATGCACGGACTCCTTCCCATTCAATTGTCGATAACAGCATATCCTCAAGCCCCACAAAAGCCTGTTGCGCTTACACTTCAGGGATGATGCGAGGCATGTGCCGAACTCTTCTTCGGGGGGTCTGGGCATGTCCCAGTTGAACGGCCTCGCCTGCACTGCCAAGCTTTTTGGGCAAAGGGAGAGAGGCACATGCGCACAAACTCCGGATTTGTCTCAGGGCTTCCGTTGTCACGGTGCATAATGCGCTCTGCTCAACCAGGGTTCCATTGTTTGACTCCCAGGTGGTTCCCTTTTAGAGACATCAACCAAGCCTGGGTCGAAGTCTACCTTGGATGCAATCAAAAATTGCAACTCTGTGCTCAATGCTTCGGGTGAACGCAAACATCTGAGAAAGCCTTGCCACTTGGGCGGCAACGCGAGCAAGAAGCCTAAGGCCTGTCAGCAGAGCCAACAAACCAAACGTGCACACAACTGAGAGAGTTCTCAAATGATGATGGATTGCTTTGAGATTTGAAAAGGGGCGGGCCCAGTATGCACACTGTTCAACCAGAGTTCCATTGTTTGACTGCCCCTGAGGGAGACTTAAACTCAGGGCTTCCCGTTTCGGAACATCAACCAACCCTGCCCATGACCAAATCACCCGTGTCCCCCAAGTGGAACCTTCTCAATGTCGGCAAAGGCTACCTCGTAGTCGGCCTGCGAAACGGACAATTTGGGCCACTCTGAGCAACACTTCTCCCCATGGTCCGACTGGCTTCTGGGTCAATAGTGGATCAATGTTCGGTAGCATCGATCTTGACACTTCCTCCTTTGCTCAAGTCCAATAGAAAAACAATGATAGAGCAGCAGGGGAAATGAACAGTTGAACATAGTCACTGTTGGGTGTCTTTTTTGTGGGTACCCATTGGTGTGTCGTTTTGAAGGGAACCCAAGACCATCCACGGGGAAAGACACACCCAAACGGAAGCCTTGGCACCGGATGCTCTGAAGGGCCCGCGTCGGGAAGTCACTTCGAAAAATACGGGCCCGCCAAGTACCATGAAACCGCCCAAAAAAATGGGCCCCAAAAAAAAGTCTACAAAAACAAAAACAAAAAACGGTTTTTGTTTGGGTTGCCAATGTGAGTTTGCAGGGGAGCAACCCCTTCTTTCCTGGACTCACGGTGTTTCAACAGGACTCCTTCTCCTGGGAAATGCACTCTGGGGAAGCTGGTCCATCACTCCATTCCGGGACCATGCTCCTCAAACATGTTTTTGTCCAGACGTTCTTAAAAGCATCCCTCGTAATTTCCAATGAGAGGGGCAGCAAACGACAGCTAACTTGTTGAATCCAGGACCGATGCTGGACATGGGATTTTCAATGCGGGCGTCTCGGTCTTTCAGAAGGCTTGCGTATGAGAGTGAATACACAACCACGGCACGCACAAACTTCTTGAACATCTAACAGGCCTTCCCAAAACCCAGTTCACAAATCGAAAGGGATATCCGCACCTGGGACTGTCCCCTCGGCCCGACTCTGAGTAACACTTGCTGAGTCTGTTTTGTCTTCAGTCAACCCAATATAGGCATGAATTTCAATTAGGGCCCTTTGGTGGATCATTGATTCATGTCCACCGACCACTTTTGAGGAGGTTCCAACCATGAACATTCCCGGCCATAAGGCTATGGGTCAAAATCAGACCACCAGGGGACCGCAGATTTTAGTTCTGGGTTCCATTCTCCCGGGCAAGCCATTTTGGGTCTTTTGGGTACCCATTTTTGACCCACACCTCTATAACAAGTGTTGGATCCCCAGGATAGATTTAGATTGTGGCTCTCATGCCTCATGCTGTCGACACACCTCCCAGTCACAAAACGCCTGTAGCCGCAGCGCGGAGATGCCAGGCTTCTCCTGGCAATTGAAACCTTCCATGGGAAGATTGAAACCCAAATCCCTTAGAAGTACAACGTTGACCCCTGACTAATAACCCCAATTAATGCATCAGGGGGTCCCGTTTTAGTGGTGGGATTCCTTTCTTCAAGGGGAAGCCGCCTGGAAAAAGGTAACGGATCGCTTGGGTCCACACGACTCTTCAGCGCAAGTTGAGTACGGTATCTGTTAAACCACCTGCACTCCCCGTCGCTTGGATACGCGTAAGGAGAAAACAGAAGCAGCACAAACCTGAAAGGAGATCCGAATTTGCGGAACCAATTAATAACCTGTTGCGGGGCCCACATGTGATTTTGAACGGGGAATACGCCTGACTGATTCTGTCGGGCGTGCACCGATGAAGTGCAGGATTTTCCTTTTGAGGGACCCCACGTCCTTCGTGCTAGCCGGAGGGCTGAGAAGAGGAACGGTCAAAATACTGTGGATGGACAGAATCCTGCACCACCTAAGCAACTATGAGACACCATTGTTTGTTGGTATTTACAGGGGAATCAACATTCCAGGGTTTCTTAGGTGGTGCAGGATTCGGTCCATCCACGGTATGTAGCTCCCATAAAAGACATTTTGGACAATGAGTCACAATCGAAACCTGGTTTGGGCTCAAATGAGGATCGCCCCCTGGGTCAAAACCGGATTGTGTAGGACATGTCCTCCCAAAACCAACTGGAGGCTACCCTTCATAGGCAGCAGAACACGACACCTTCGTGTCCATCGGTGGCCTTTCGGAAAAATCGATGGCCCTGGTAAATAGAATAAAATCCATCTATACAGTACCAGCGCCATCTATTTTTAACCGAACTAACCTAAAAAGGACGTCACCAATTTTTGAGTACGCAAGTGGAAATCAGCTCAGTCCTTGGACAGGATCTTTTTGGCAGCCTCCTCCACCACCGTCTTGGCATCCTGAAGAATTCAGCCCTCCGAACTCGATTTGCTTCCATTTGCCTAAGCCCCCTGGAAGAAACATGAAACATATTTCCAGTAGTGAAATCGATTCCAACTTTAAAACCAACAGGGGGAAGTGAAACATATTCTTAAGCAAATGGAAGTTTGGGTGTTCTGACATAAATCTGGCCAAGTGACCCTCTGGTTCCTCAAATCTCCTTTCACGGAAAACTGCGTCGGGCCCCCTTGCCGCAATCTTCAAAACAACATGCCATAGGAAGACTTCGCTGTATCCAAAGCATGTGGCAAGGATGGACTTGATTGTGTTGCTTGGATGGCTTCTTTCCAAGCATAGCGCCACGCAGCTTGTTTTGCAAGCACAACAATGAAACAAACCTCGCTCAATGTCTAGCTTGTCTCTTTCACTTTCGTCTCCGCCATTGCACAGTTGGCAGTGGGATCAAGTCAAAACTCAGCGAGCTCGCGAGTCGTTTGTGGCGTTCAAAACTGGGGGCCGCTCTTGTCCATGAACAAAGCTGGCCTGTGGGCGCGCATGCCTGAAAGAGAAGTGAACCCCTGTGTGTTGCTGCGGATCGTAAAGGGAACCCCATCCCAACAAACGGAAAGACACCAATGGTCAAACCCATCGCACTGGCAATCCGGGGAAAGGGGGTATGTGCGATCCGGTTCATCCGGCTGGGCCCCGGGCGTTTTCGTCGATGGACTTCTCCGAAAAGAAGCCACCTAGCGGATGTCCACGTGAATGACACAAGGTGGTGTCTGGGTCTCAAAATTGGATGCACTCCGTCTTGGATGGCATTTCACCGGATCTTCCGAAATTGGCGGGAGAGGAGGGGGGGGGACGCTCAACAATTGGCGTGTTGGTGTCCTAATAATTATGTTCCCCACTTCTAGCCCGATTCTAGGCACCAGAAATATCATGGCTTGCTAAGGGTTCGGAAAACAGCCAAACATGTGTATATATATATATATATGTTTACCTGGCACCTGGAGTGAACCCCTGCGGCGGCAGCGCGTCGGAACGATGCATGAATCAGCAACAAGACAACCGGCCAACAAAAAAACACCAGTAGAGAAAGAACCAACAACAACCAACACACACCGCACACACAATCAGAAAACAACCCCGACCAGCGAAAAAAATAAAAAAGACACACAGTGACACGACAATCACAAGCAACTAATGCATCCAACATAAGAACACCATCAACCATGACCAACCTACCACAAACAAACGAGTAAGCAGCAAGCAAATTAAGACACTAACACGGAACACACAAGGAAACAAACATAACAACAAAAATCACACATCAACGGCAAACTTGCCACAAGCAAATAACAGCAAGCAACACACAAACCAGAAACAACCAAACAGCGACAACAAGGAAAAGCACACAAACACACCCAACAAAGTAAAAAAAAAAACAAGTTGTTCTTCGTTTTGTTCTTCGTTTTGTTTAGCGCAACAGAAACATATATAGAAACAACCAACGTAGAACCCTTGTTTGTGTAACGACAACACGGCGACAAAACGCGAACACCAAACAAACACAAACACACACACACACAAACAAAACAAACAAAACACAAATTCGGAGAAAAAAAAAGAGAAACAAAAAAGAAGAAAACAACAAAAACAACCCCCCCCCCAAAAAAAAAGAAAGACAACACAAAAAGCACGAGGCACGGGGGGTTTTGCTTCCGGGGCCTTCTTTGGCGACCACGGTGGCGGCCACCACGGCGGCCAAGGCCTCCGAGACCGTGTGGCCCAGCTGCCGGCAAGCGAGCATCAGCTCCTGGCGGCGCTTGAAACGCGCCGTCGTTTTCCACTCGGGGTTGGCGGTTGGCCTCAGTTGTTCAGTGAAATTCTGGGAAAAAAAGGAATTCGAGCCAATTCTTTCTTGGGGCTTGGACCGTTTTTAGTGGGGCCCACCCAAAAAAGAAGTTGGGAAAGAAGAAGAGCCGAGGGAAGCCAAGGGAAGCCGAGCTGAGTCGATGGAGTCAATGCGACAGGCGACCATGGAGGTTCTCCGTGCACCGAAAGACAAGAGTCATGTAATCGTCCATTTGGTCAAGACCCTTGGAAAAAATGAGCAGACATGTCCAGTAGTGATAAAATCCTTTTAAAACCAACCGGGAAAAAAATAAGCAAATGGAAGCTCTGGGGAAACCATGGCAAAACCATGGGGAAACCATGGGGAAACCATAGGGAAGCCAAGGGAAACCAAGGTTTCGTTCTTTTGTTGCTCAATGGGATTACGGAGCTGGGTTTTGTGGGTTGTTGGAGGTTTCTGTTTGGATTTGTTTTGTTCAAAGGTGTTTACCCTTGAGGAAGGATTAAGGAGACCTTTTACACACATGGTTGAGGTTTCGTTTCATTTGGCCAATGGGTTCGAGCCTCAGGGAACCAAGGACTCACATCCGATCGCCAGAACAGAGTAACCAAGTCTTCACAAAAAGTATAAAGTCCAGGAACTCAGGGAGTGAGAGTGAAACTAGGGGAACTCCAGACACCAAAGGGCATAAATCCGGAAGCCTAATGGTGAAGCAGTGAAAGCTATGATAGGTCAAAAGAAAGCAGAAGTTTCATAGGGACAATCGCTGGGATCCTATCCCTAGAAGCCTCAAAGCCTTGAATTTCCGTGGGCTCCTAGGGTTTGGTCAATGGATTCTACTACTAGGAAAAAAAATGCAAGAAAACCAGAGACCCCAACAAAATTCCAGCCCACGTGCCCCAAGTGGCCCGCAAAACAGCCAGTTCCGAAGTGGCGGACCAAAAACAGTGACCATACAGCAAGGTTCCTTGCATTCAAAGATGACCCCGCGGGGCAACTCGATTCACACTGGTCCCAAAGGTGATTCGTTGGAAATGTCCAGCAAGCTGATGTTGAAGCACTGAACATGTCCAAGTTCCAAGAGTGGATGATTGAATCAGTGAACAGGTCCAAATGGTCAGTTTGGTCCGGCAATGGTTGACCCAGATCAGGTTAGGTGAGAAACATGGGGTATGGCTAGGGTTTAAACCTTCCCAGTGCATCCATGTACCTGTTTTGTCGGCAACCAAGGGAACCACCCTGACACCGAAGAAAACCAAAAACTGGTGGCCCACTGTAAGGTCTTGCCCGGGATTTGCTGGGCTGGATGCTTGGTCAACCCAAAGGGGACGTGTCTTCGCCCTGGTGCCATTCACAGAGTCAAGTCAAGTCGGTTTCTCGCCTTGCTAATGGTGATGATGCTGATGGCCACCATGGCTGCGAGGGTGCCTCTGCCTGGCGCGGGAAGCGCTGAACCAACCCCGAAGCCATTCCTCGTTTGCTTTCTGCTCCCCTGCTAAAAGTTTAACTGTTGGTGGTTTAATGGAAAACCCATCACTTGGCAAAAGTTAAAGTTCTAACATCCAAGCAACATGCACCAAAGGGTCAGTTTCTGGAGCTTTTGGGGTTCGGTGTGCGACCTGCTACGCCAACAGCAGAAAGCGCCGTTTTGTGGCCTCATTTACCTCTTGGTGTATTGGCTCAAACAAACACTGGCTGGGGGGCCCGTCCCTAAGCCAACCAACAGGGATTCCTGGTTGCGGGCACGTCCATCAAGCCATGAAACAACAGCAACTCCGTGATTTGGATGGGGTCCGCTAGGCGCCAAACTCAGCCGGGTCCCTCTCCGCATCTTTGCAAGTCAGTTGCTTACTTCGGAGAGCATAGTACAAGGATCCAGTCGATGCCGGAATGTGCCGAAACTGGATTCCCGCAAAGGTCTGTCAAGGAGCGCAGCTTCATTGCGAGTTCACGGCAGCAGGTTAGACGAGCAGTTTAAGGTCGTAGCCTGTAGAATAGCCACCACCTTCGTGTGGCCAGGTAAAGCTGTCTGCTGTTGACCCACTCTAAAACACCAAAACACTGGGGTCCAGATTGAAATGCATCTCTAGCACACCTTTCCAGTTGTAGTTTCCGTTGACATCTCCAACGATCGATACCGGACCTTGGAGCGTTGCCTATTAGTGAATTACATTGGCGTCATGGCCACATGATGCAAAGCCAATCTGCATCTGATGTAAAATCAAAACTGGATGCAAGGCCTGAACCAAATTGTAGATAAATAACTCGTCGGCGCACAGAATATCAGGAGCTGAATTGCGAATGGCTCACTGCAATAAGGACCAATGTGGAACTAACGTGTTAGACATATGTCCTATTTATGCTTATATTCTTCTCGCTGTCAGTACTGACTGGCATCCACCCGTTCCCTTGATTTCCTCAGGTGTCAGGCACACAACATCGGCCTTTGGGGTGCTCGGGCATGTGTCGAAATAGGCTGCGGAAACCAGAAACGGGCCGGCTTTCCATAGATTCCCTATTGGTTTCCCTTGCCTTCATGACATGGTCTTTCATTGACTAAGTTTCTGTGAAGCTTGACCTTGGCTCAGAAAATGCTATAGGACGTTGAAAGGATCGAAGCGGCTTCGCTTCCGCCTTCCTCTCAAAAGGGTCACCCCGGGCTCAAAATAGGCGCTATCACTCGCATGAACAGGAACGGGTGCATGTCTTGGCGATCATGGTCTCGATCCGTTTAAAAAGGATTTTGTTCAATATTGACCCGAATCCATGCACAGCTAGTGAGAACGTATGTTTCAGTTTGAAACACAAGGTGGCGTGTTGCTCATCCCAACAGCATGTCACAACCTGCACCTTAGGATTGTAAGCTCATCCACAGGTAGGCATTCACCCTGGCAATCCACCTTTTGCACCATCCAACAAAGTTGCACTCAATTTCAGGCTGCGTCTAGAAACACAAACGCACGGAGATCTCGGATTCATTCGACCAAACCTTAAACCTCGCGCCCAGGCTGCCGTGGAAGAGCACTTTAGACTTCAAACAGCCGTCAATTCCCCAAGAGGCTGTTTCCATCCTTTACAGACTGCTGAGCTGGCCGGCGGGGGACGGGGTTATCAGCCACTCTGAGAAACATCAACCCTTAGCTGCTACAAAATGCCAAGAACTACAGCCCAAGGCTATGCGAACTTCGAAGATTTGGATCAAGTCACCTGAAGCCCGTAGGCAAAATCAGCAAACATAGGTTTGAGACACTGACAGCCTGAAGCCGGAGCGCTCGCTTGGAACGCTCGGCACCCGGCCTTTGGCACAGTTCCCCTCTCGCCGGTGGCAAACCCCTTGAGCCAAAAAAAAATGAGCGACAGGCGAAGAGCAAGCTTCAAATCAAGCAAGCATTGAACCAACTGGTTTGGATGCTTGCCTTATGAATTGACATGAAGGGCATGGCAAGCGACCACGAAGACTGCGAGGCTCCGCGCCAAGTGCGCCAAGCATGCCTTACATGACACGTGTCACTTGGCAACAAAGCATGTCATGCTCTCCAGATGCCCCTTTCACTTCCTTAGCCCCATGTGATGTTATTTATGTGGGTATGGGTCAAATAAAACTACTAGGGACCCCAGGTTTTTGTCCATGTTTCCCATTTACCAGGGCAAGCCACTTGGGGTATCTATTCTTGACAAGCACAGCCCAAAAGTGCCGCGTGATGAAAGGTCAATGCTTACTTCTGTGAGTCAGATTCACAACTTGGCACAGGGCTGCACGCAAAATGTAAAGAAAGGGTCCAACAGGTGAACCATGTTGATGGTTGGGACAGTCCTGTCAGCTTCGTTTACCTGGGTTTTGATTGGCTCAAGTGGATAGCAAGCAGCGGCCTCGCCCAGGTCGACCGCGAATTGGGTGATCTCCTGAAGTCTCCGGCAACAGACATCTGGCGATTGGCAAACAAAACACATCAAGTAGATCTTTGCTGGATAAAGATCCTGGACATTTCAGCAGGGCTTTGAATCCAATGGTGAACTGAGATCCGAACAAGGAAGCCCTGTTTGAATCCATCCAAAACTAAGTAAAGACAGCTAATCCCTCAAAAACCCCTTATCGTGGGTAACCAGCCATTTTCCTCTTCCCTTGGTTATCTATACAGGTAAATGGATAGGAACCTGCAGGATGGTGGCACTCTGAAATTTGTCCAGTGAATTGACATGTTAATTTACACTCCCTCAGACTAGCATGGAAGCTCCCCCAGTTGGCCTCTGTAAATGGAATGGAACCGAGTCTTGCATTTCGGGGTCCGAGCTTCCATGAAATGGTGTGGGGGAGCGTAGTTTCGCGGCCTGCAGCCACAAACATGGGCTCAAAATCAAACAACTGTGGTTGCGCGAGGTTTTAGTCTACCTTTACATTTGCTAGGGCTGCACTTTGGAACGATTCCTATTCTTGAGCCACACCCATATCAATCTTTCTCACTTGAAACTTTGGGCTTGTACAAAGTCCTAGGGAGTCAGTCCTACGGAGTCAGTATTCATTGGGGCAGTATCGGGGTCCGGGTCCGACTTTCCGCCCTCCGTCCGGCCCTTCTGGCCCTTAACTGGGGCGCCAACTGCCAACTGCCAATCCAACGCCATCGGACGTCACACGCAAGTGATTGACAAACGGTGACCGATTTCAGGGATCACCATGGAAGGGCACGAAATGACACAAAGGGACCTGATGATGTTGGCTCCATGCGCGACCAGCGTCTGCGAAGCTATCGATAAGGCCAACCGCTCAACAAATTCTTGGCCGTCCTTGCCACCATTACCCTCTTGCATAGCGATGCGCAGATTCGGGTCGTGCGTAAAGCAAGCATCTTGGAAATATAATTTATTGTCTATGTGCTGCACATCTCCCACATAGGCGGTCTCGCAAAATGACCCAAAACTACCGATCCCCTTTCCCGGGTTTTGATTGCTTCAACAAATGTTGTTTGGCAGAACAGCTGCAGCCCAGCAAACGCCCTGCCTGCCAAGGGGTCTCCGGGGCTTTCTCACACTTGCCCAGCGCTCGCGGCTGGTACCTCTCCAATTGAATGTAGATGGCACCATTACCTCCATTTGCTTAAGTCCCCTGGAAAATTGAAAAATATTTCCAGTAGTGACAGATTCCCTTTAAAACCAACAGGGGAAAACAACAAATAGTCTTAACCAAATGGAAGATTACCTTTGGGTGGGGTACCACTTGGCCAGACTTAGACGACAGGAGCGTCGCCCAAAAGTACAACATTGGCTTCTGGCAAAGAGAAAAAAACATGGCAGACATGAGGAAAACCGAAACTGGCAGAAGAGCAAACAGGTTGGTCGAGTCTGGCAATGTCAAGGCGAGTAATCCAACCAGCATGGAATGTGACGAACCTGGCTGTTGTGCTTTGATTCTTGCGGAATCCAATGCAAAAAAAGGTCCCTATTACCGTCCCACCAATTGACATGGAACCCGACAGGGGGTCCTTTTAAAAGGAAAATGGTCTTCCAGGATCCCGTATCAGGTTCCATGTTAATTGGTGGAAGGGTAAAAAACGGCACCTCAGCTTTCGAAAAGAGTGCAACAACCGATGCACAAGCTGGATGAGATGAGGAAGCAATGGTATCTGACGGTATCTGCATGCACCACCGGTGTCTGCCACTCCGCAAACGAACAACCTGAGTGCCATTATTATGCGTCACTGGCTTAACATGGGCTGATATATGACATATGAGCAACATGTACATTCACGAAAATCCGCCGACCCCTTTGCAAAAGCCAAGTTAGTCTCTGCAAAGGGGCGAGGCGTGTTCTAAGTGGTGGTTAGGGGAGTCTGAGGGGGGGAGGGGGGGCCCCGCGGCGGATTTTTGACACGCCTAACCTCTAACTCTAACCTCTAACCTTAACCTCTAACCCTAACCTCTAACCCTAACCTCTAACCCTAACCTCTAACCCTAACCTCTAACCCTGACCTCTAACCTCTAACCCTAACCTCTAACCCTAACCTCTAACCCTAACCTCTAACCCTAACCTCTAACCCTAACCTCTAACCCTAACCTCTAACCTCTAACCCTAACCTCTAACCTCTAACCCTAACCTCTAACCCTAACCTCTAACCCTAACCTCTAACCCTAACCTCTGATGATGACGAAGTCGATAATGATGATGATTGATGATGATGATGATGATGATGATGATGATGATGATGATGATGATGATGATGATGATGATGATGGATGATGATGATGATGATGATGATGATGATGATGATGATGATGATGATGATGATGATGGATGATGATGATGATGCTGATGATGGTGATAATAATGATGGTGGTGGTGGTGATGACGATGATGATGAATGATGATGATGATGATGACGATGATGATGATGATGATGACGATGATGATGATGATGATGA